GTATTGCTCACCAATCTGATATCATATTCAGAATACAGCGATGACGTCCCCAATAAAAACATTTGCTTGGTGGTAAAAGAAGATAGAGCGGGCAAGTCGGTACATGAAAGGGTGGCCTACACCCAGTGAGCCTCCTTTAGTAAAAACATTCTTTCAAGCTAGCGCCATTCTCTGATTACAGTCAATACAGATATCTGATACAAAGGATTTAGATTAACATTAACGGCTTGTAATTAGTAGGGAAGAGAAGGGAAGAAGTGTGAAAAGTGAAGAAAAATCACATTTTCCACTTGAAGAGTATATCTATTGAAAAAGTTACGCGTAGGCGTTTCGTAGCGTGAAATGGGCGGTTTACGAAGCATCTTTCGCATGCTTTCCAATATATCGTCTCCTAGTGCACTTTTTATCCGATGATATACGACACCAGTTTATAGAACATTCCTTTAGTTTCACCTCGCCAGAATTGAAATTCACAAACTTTTTTTTTTTTGGTTATTTTATTCACCGAAAACTTGATCTCGTCATATGTCGCCACTTTGATGTCTTGATTTGTGGAGCATCAATTCAATCTCATTCATTTTTGAAGTGATTAATGATGGTGGCGATTTGAATGCCGCGGCGCGTGCGTATCGAATAAGCGAAGGACGAACTAATTACGCCGGAAAGAAATATTGCATTGCTTTTCGGATCCAACATTTCGACGCCTACGGGCTTGTCGCGTGAAACGTCGCCTCGTGCTTGTGCATAAGGATTTTGTAAAATCGGCAGGGACAAACATCTGGCCTTCATTTTGAAAGTTTATTGATCAAAGACAACCTTTCCACCGCGGTTTTACTTGCTTCAAGCCATTAATAAAATACGCACATGGTTTTCCAGAAAATTAAAATTTCGATTTGTAAATTTTGTGATTTTATCATCACTACAAGTTTATTTACTCATCTTTTCTCTAATACCTCGCCCCTCCGCTTATGACGTCATATTACATAGTCGCTTGCGTCATGAACGAGGGCCTGGCGGCCTGTTGACCCCGCCTTGACCTTGAGTTAGTCTGCTAAAACGAATGTTTGTACGCTGTCTAAACGGCACGCCCACAATTGCTGGCTAAGTTAACGCTTATAATAGGCTAAGTAGTATAAGGTAAAGGAGACGCTCCATTTCCGTATTTATGCAAGATAATGGATCAGTACATAAATATCTATGAAACGACTTGTTGAATATTCGATGATGACAACTATTCAATTTTCTTACGTCAGTGATATATGGTCGAGATCTAGTTCTGTTTAAAGGTGTCTAACATGCTATGGTGCCCATAGATGGCGCATTTAAGGATGAACGAATCAGTTTGGAAAAGCGTTAAAAAAAAGTGTTCGATAAATAACGTGACATGTTGCTATTCGCGTCAGCTGCACCTCAGATATGAGCGAATTAGAGAGCAAGCTTCTTATATGAAAGCATAGCTGCTAATCTATAATTACTCTGTCTTTCAACACTTTAAGACATTTATTTGTCTATAATATTTAATAAAATTAGTCATAAATAGGAAAATGAGTGTAAACATATGAAATAACGATTGCCTGCACTCTGTGACCTCTCTTCCCTAGTTGCCCAGCCTCTAGGCCCTTTTCCAGAAATATTTAGGTCATCGCACCATAAAAATAAGATGTTTTTTTCCATCTTACTTTTATATGATTAATAATTCGGTTTATACATAAGAAATCGATTTAGATCTACTGATTAGAGTACGATCTCAGATAGCGAAGAGTTTTACAATAGGTTATGTAAAACAGCATCATGATTACTTCGACAAGGAAATATATCGCAGCCCACTCTAACGACTGAGGCTACCTTTTATTTCCCTTCTTTGCTATTACTCAAATGCCTATTAGCTGTCTGTACGTGTTCTAATTGATTGTGGCCTACGGCTTTTTCCCGATTATATAATCTGACTAGGCGTGGTTTTGAGAATCGACTTGAGCGCTAATTGACTGTAAGAAAGGGACTTTTTTTTCAATAAAACGTCTTGTCTATAAGCATTATTTCACTTTTTCATTTTCTCTTCCTTTTTCCAAACAGGGATCTTAAAATGGAGAATATTATGTTGGATGAAAAGCAGAAAAACGTCAAACTAATAGGTACATTTTTTTCCTAAAAGAGAAAACATTTTACTTGGTCGATTACTAAATGAGCCTTTTTGAAGAGTTTTATAATCGAAAAAAAATGTTCTTCCTCAACTTAATCGCCATATAAAAAAATATCTATAATAATTCAGCAACTACTGTTATTTACAGATATCAATCTAAAAAGAGCTTATTTCTTGTTTTTTTGTTGATCGTTTTAGGCCTATGCTTTTAATTCAGGGTAGATTTAGTCCCAAGACATACTCAAATGATACAGCATCAATGACTCATCCGGTAACGCGTTGCTGTTGGCGCTCGAGGCACGAGATTGTAATTTATTGAAGCAAGGAGAATCCTGATACAAACAGCGTTGCACGTAGGACAGAAATCATCTAATTTAAACTAGGGTTAATTATAGAAAAAGCAGTTGAGAAAGATAACCGTTAAAAAAACAAGGCTCTCTCCTCTTTGATTCATTTAAGTTAGGGTGCTATGATGTATTGCTGCTTTATATTCTAATGAAAGTATAATATATCCTTACGATTATAAAAGAGAATTATTAAATGTAAGACAGTTTTAGATTTAATCTGATCAATCTAACTTAGTGCATTTACGATGAAAGTTATAGATGAATTTCGTTTACACGCTATAAAGCGATAGACATTTATTTTTTGTGCATTTTTCTTTTAATTTCTGAGGCTCTATCTACAAAAAAAGCGTCTTGTTTACTGTTTATTGATACTGTCTGACCTAGGGGCTGTACATTTTAAAAGTAAATTCAATCATCAGTGCGATCTTATGTGCTTATATAGGCTAATTTCAAAGTGTAGATGGTGATTTTAATAATGACGTAAGCGGGTAGCCCAAAGGCAACAGATGGTGGTAGCTTTCGGTATAATCTGCCCTACTAACGACCTTGGCGTTTGCTAAACTACAGATGATGGAGAGGCAGGAACTGGAATAAAAACTCGAAGTTCTAATTACAATCTACTGTTTTACTTTTCATAGTATGTTGAACACCGCAATCGTCTCACATTCCGATGGCCTCTTTCATTTTGAAGTTTTCGAGTGTTTTACGGCTATATTTATACTAAAACCGACTTTTTTTATTTTATCACGTTCATCTCTTTGCTGCATGACGTTTATTTCCCTTTCAAACTGACGTAACTTTGAATTTTCCCGTACCCATTAACGGAATGGCTCGCGTACGTTATTACGGGAGGACGAAAGTCCGCCCACTAGACGCCCACTATTACGCAACCACCTAGAAATCATTACCGCATACCTAACGTGCTTGGAATATTATTAGATATATTTCTGAAGGTAAAAAGCTTATAATGATTTATTAATTATAGATTTCGGCTTAAGTAACGTCTATTCACCTGAGGAACCGTTAAAAACGCATTGTGGGTCACCTGAATATGCCGCTCCAGAGTTGTTTACTGTTGGCAGGGCCTATGGACCAGAAATTGATATATGGAGTTTGTGAGTATATTATTTCCGATTCACTATGAAAGTATAGTAATAGAAAATTCCCCAAAGTTTGTTCATTCTGGGATAAGTGTCTAATATGTACAGGCCACATATTTGTACGGTTTTTAGATAGGTGTTACGGCAAAGTACGATATATCTTAATGATAAACCCTAGATTTAAATTTCATGTCGCTTTTTAGCGAAAGATTTATGATTATATCTCTTGGCGGCAATTCAACTCCTTACGGTGCATGTTTTTCTTTACAATGACGTAATGCTTTTAGAAAATAAGACCAAATGAAAATTTGGAGTGCTAAGATCTTTTAAACTCAAAAGGATACTTGTTTAGATACACTGTCATCCTCCTTCTTGTTTAAGAAAACTGAGAATCTTCATCTTTGGTTACATTAACTTATTATTTTATGGAAATAGGTCTGTGAATACTTTACGACGTAATTTTGGCAAACAACTTAATCTCTAATCTCGTTTTATCTAATGTTAAGTGCTGAAACGTGACATTTGACAAACCGCTACGTTAAGAGTAAAATTTATTTCGGCGCGAATTTATAGGTGGCAGCAGCTGCCAGCGTCGTATTACTCGAACCTGGATTCTATCGGTTGATCTGGCGTAAGCTTGCTTATGTCATCACCGATAAGCTCGTCATTCATGCATAGGCAATTATATATACATAGGTAAAGAGGTTTCACATATGAGTTTAAGTGAAAATTTGCTATTCGTTAAACTACTGCTTGAGGGGTTAAATGACTGGAGTCACGTGGCATACAGAAAACGCAGGCCGTTATCAGAGGCAGATAAGGTTTCGCGTGCCTTCCTTTTTTGGAACCGAGGGCCTTTTCTATGTTTGTCTTCGTCAATTACTACTGAGCGCCTCGGACGCGTGTTTCTAACGCTTGAAATACGATTCCACTTCTTAAATTAGAAAGCTTCCAGCTCCCTCTGTGGTTTCCATACGTAAATGTAACCGTTTCTCTTCATGGCGTCCAAGTTAGCAACTTGCGCGACCCGTGTGACCCAGGCGAATTGAGTTTAATTAACGTCAAACTAACGTTTACCAGATTGTTTAGAGTGCAATGAGAAGCCTGTTATTTATATAGTATTCAATTAGCCATGTAGGCTTATTACTTGTTCAGCAAAATTTTCTTCCCACAAGTCTATCTGGAAAACGTTACGAGCCAAGCTTTGTCGACCTTTATCGTCTTTTATCAGAGTACTCACGCGATGCATCCTAGATAACGTTTTTAGGAAGAAAAAATGACTTTTACGTCTGTTTTACGAGCTGTTGGGATTATGTCTGTGTCGGCGTGTATGTTTTGCGTTACTGCCTGACCTTTTTCACCCTTTTTAATGCCTTTTTATAATTCACGAATACCTCAAAACAGGGGAATCATAATGTATGCTGTGATATTGGGACGTATGCCGTTCTCTACTGCAATGAAAGATGAATATCATCGGCAAAAACTGTTACAAGCAATACAAAGAGGTCTTTCATCTCACCACGATTTAGAAATGCAAGCCTGTTCTACCGGTTAGACTAAATATAGACTGAGCCTTTTATAAGATTTTCATTTAAAATCCTAAACAGACTGCAGAAATTTACTTCGCCAGTTGATTGAACCGAAACCCGAACTTCGCCTTCCCTTGCACGAAATTCAAAGGCATCCATGGGTAACGAGAAACGGCCGAACAGTCTTTTATACATACCGACCCCCGCCAAAAAATATGCATATGCGTCAGCAAACTATTGCCGAACTCTCAATAATGATGGGACTCAAGCGCAAGGAAGTGGCTGAAACAGTTAAAGAAAGTAAAGCAGACGAGCTGTCAGCAATGTTCAACATGATTTTAGATAGGAAACGCCGTGATCAAGGTTCGTATGAACATATAGCTATTGATGACTGTTAAGAAGATTATCTCTGACATTAGTAATCGAAATTGACCTGTTTATCGCAAAGTCATTCTGAATTATTTTGTTTATTATGTCCTTATCTATGATGGAGTCGTCTCTTGACGCCTAGAAACGGTCAAATAGATGCTTGTCAAGGGTTAGCCGCCTCGTTTAGCTGACAAGCTTCGTGATAATTTACAAGGCGGTTACAAGCCTTTCTTTTATCTCTAGGTGCACTCGATTTCGATCATACCAGACGACCATTTGGAAATAAGGGGAGATCAAGATCTGGGAGTAGAGAGAGAGCTGTGCCTGCAGTCAGACCGTCGCGCCTGCGTGGCTTAACTAAATCTTCAAAAGCTCTTTCGCGCTCCAGAGCTGGCTCTGGCGAGAGGGGTAAGGACTTATAAGAAAAGACTTAAACTTCCCATTAAAGAGTCTATTTTAAATAAACCGATAAGACAAATTATTAACAGTCGCATGATCTAGATAGAAACATTACACACAAGATATTAAACGGATGCATCTCCCTAGTATAGGCCACTGACCTTTTGATGTACTGGTTGTAGATCCCCTACTCTTGTCATTTTGCCCTCTACTTCAAGCTGCACCTTTGCTCTACGCAGCTTTCGGTACGTGAAAATGCTGATAGTGATTTATAGGGGAGGCTATATATATATATCGATATATACTGTACTCTCTATTAGGTATTTAACTACAGTATATATTAATTTTCATATATACTCTCCGTAAATGTACAGTATTATGTAGCAGTCATTTCGTTCGTATAATTGTTTAGAAAGTTTTGCATAGTTTCAAGATTCGTGTTGTAAGAGTCTCTCCATTGACAACTAGCGATTGGGCTTTGTGAAGCTACAGCACAGCTTCCTCTAACTTTTGCTCACCTTGTGGACGAGTTGTTTAAAGCAGCAGCTCCTTGCTTGTAAGTGCCTAAAAACTATAGACAACCCGCACGTTGCATGGCTATTTATTACTTGTTGTAAATGCTGCCGTGTGTTCTCTTCGAGTCAATTTAATTAATCTTATACTTATAGGTACTAAGCAGTAACCTTAATATCTTTCAAAAGCTACATTTGTATATATATATTTATACAGTATCTACGTACATACTAGTATATATATATACATGTATGTATCTTGATAAATATTTATATGCTAATTTTATTAAAGGGACCATCTAGTATCATTCTTAATTATAATTGATAGAAAAGTATTATAAGACATACGCAGCAATATAAGTATCATGATTCATACGCTTATGTGATGTTTTCGATATGAATGTGCGGCTAATGCGATACACATATATTAAGTAATCATACTTGCAATTAAAAAAAAACTTAAATTCATTACGATACGAAAATATCCAACAGCCAGCCACATGGCACCGCCTGAGATCACTGCTCAATCTGCAAGCGATCAGGAAGACTCAGTCTGTAGCGGAGCGTCTAGCGGTCGAGCGGCACCAGCAGCGAGTAATCAATTGTTAGCTCCTCCACCCAGAACGTCAAGCCTGTCCTCCTCTACCGCGTCACCTCATGTGCCTATAAAGCAACGAAGACCTCGCGCTCCTCCAACACTCAACTTAACTCTAGATCTTTCGGTAACTGATGCACTCGTCAATCCTTTTGTGAGTACTCCCGGGGTATTTCCCCCTCGGGGATATAGCCTTGGGGGCACTCCTGCACGTTAGATATAATAATGCATGAACACATGATCCTTGCCTTCCAAGCCTCACTGATAACACTAGCGTTTTTTCAGAAAAAACCTTATTGTGTAATCCCATTCAAACAGAGGCCGGATAGTCCTACTACAAAGATCAATCCTACAACCAGAGTGGCCATTCCTTCCCCTAGACGTCTTTCAACCTTGTCTCAAATGCGCCAAAACCTACAAGAGTCAAATTATCAGAAACCTACCAGGCCTTCATCCTTGCCCTGGAAAGGACTGACTGATAAGTCAAAACCGGCAAAATTTCACTATGGAGTCTATGGCAATTATACTAATTATTATTATGTTGATCCTACCGGGTATCGGATAGCACCCAAAGCAACTCCAGAGAAGACACCGTCCTCTCTAGCGTCATCCTCTTCAACGTCTTGTCCAGAAGTTGAAATACTCAGGAAGACATCCGTTGTTAAGTTCGCTGACGATGTAAAAATTTTACACGGGGATAATGTTCGAGAAACCACTTCTGACGTAACCCTTTCTACTCGTATTATCCCTGTAACGACAGCGTTAACTAAAAGTCTATCCGAACCACCATTAGCCGAACTAAGGAATGACTGTTCACTCCCCTTAACACAGTCCTTCGCTACAACGTCAGAAGAGAGCGGCACCGAAGGAAATTTATGCCGTTTTAGTCATACTGGTGCTCATGCTCTGGACGTGTTTGTATCGCCAGATGAACCTCTAAGTCCAACTGGCCCACTTTGGCGTCCTGTAGCAGCAGGTCTAAGTCCCACTCTCTTACCTGATACGAGTATAGTCCGAGACTATTCTGACGATGAAGAAGTAGATAACCTTTTGAGTAACCGTCCTTGCAAGAACAAAGTTAGACGTCGTTTGAAAACGAATGATAGCGACACATTAGACAGTGAGAAACCTATGGCGAATGTTAGTTCGGCTAAAGTTCACCCTCTTGCTTTATTTGGCAAATTACCAGTCTTAGCTCTTCTTCCTGGTACAACAACTGGCTCTGGACAGTCCAGTGATGAAGGAAGAGCATCGCCTAAACTAATACATGGACAAAAATCAAGAAGAAAGACGGGTCGCTGGCGACACGGTATCGCACAGTTGCTCAAACGGCACATGCATGCAGCGACGCCTTCTATTTCCAATGACATACGAAATAAACAGTCGAATGGCGGTACGAAGGCATCGCTCAATGCCGTCGTTACAAACTCAGTGGTGAGGACGCCACCAAAAACATTGCAAATTTCCACGAAATGCAGTATGGATTATCATTTATTTTCTTAATTTTATTGGCTTGAAACGTGAGAACTTAATAATCATCATTTAACTTCATTTTTCAGATTCACTTAGCGTTCAACCACCATCACCACCATCATCTTGTCCGTCGCCTGTGCTTTTAACGCCTTGTTCGTCACCGACTGGACGTTTGGCCGGACCGAGTAGACGATCCGATTTGTCATCGGACGACGGAGGACAAGCTGCGTGCTAACTGGTGCCTTTGTCAAGTCAGGCCGTAAATGCTCATTCCTGTAAAACTACAACGTACACATGTCTCAAAAAGGCCTATGTCATGCAGATTTTTATCGTGTGAATGAAATGTCTGTATTTACTATTATCTTGCCGGGTTCGAAGCAGTCGCCGTCGCGTCTTCCGTATATACTCAATATGTCATTTCATTTTCATTTTCAGACTTGTGTATATAGTAAGCTATACATACGAATTATACATGCTCTCTTCGTGGTTGTTTAGGGGAGGTGTATTTTCTTTTGAAATTTAGGATTTTCTCTTTGCTTGAACAATGTTGTTCAATTTTTTTAAATGTGCCATGATTGAAAACGCAATCGCTCAAGCGCATGTTGATTGTAAAGTTTTTTCCGGCGTATCGTAGTGATCTTGTTCGTTATATGTGTATATAACTACATATAGTTATATATGTTTATAACTGCCAAATGTTTGAAGAATGCCAAAGAAAGAATATCAGGCTTGCCCCTAATATATACTGTATTTTGTCTGTTATTTACGTGTCAAAAATCAAAGACTTACTATATTCGTAAACGTAGAGTGACCTGTTGCTGAATGCTTTACCGCTACAGAGCCCAAGTCTACAAAGAAACGTGAACTTGAGGTATCAACTGTAAAGCGCTCTCGACTGTGCTGACTCTTGAATTGAAGTGCGTTAATTTTTATTTTACCCTGCAAGTTCTCGTCTCATAGTAGACAAGCTCTGCAGTTGTAGCGTTTTTTATGCATATGCATCGTGTTCGACACGATGATAACAAAAAAAAACAGATGATGCAGTTTTTTCAGTTTGTTCAATTCTTGTTATTTGCACTATTGTTTCAATCTATGAATACAAGCAATGTACTTGTACCAAATTCAAAGATCTAATCTATTTAGCATAGTTTTGGTGTTATATATTTATCAAGGTAAGTAAAAAAAGGTTCATAATTTTTATCTCCGTGGAGATGATGATCATAATGAGCTCGAGCTCCTCCATAAATCCTAAACGGGAGAATCTTGTCCAGAGTGAAGGGTAAGTCGTATCCACAGTGATTTTCTATTAGGCTAAATATAAGACAGAGAACGAAAAGAGTACGAGAAAGTGGATGAGCTGATACGAATTTTAGTGCCTCGTTAGCTGAGAGAATAAGCAAGAGTCTTTCAACAATTGTTAGCTGGTTAGTTACTTTACCACTGAATTTTACATGCTGATGATGATGAGCGTGTAAGTGTGAAAAAAGCCATTTATTTTTGTGTAAGCTAACATGAAGAATGTAGAAGAGAGCATCATATAAAATGAATGCTGCAATAATTTGATAAGCAATTTCATACAGTTTAGGTGGTAGTTGAGGTAGGGATCTCGTCTTCTGCAGCCAGTTTTTCTTTTGCATTTGAATCACAGTTAAGTCTACTCCAGGATATTTCTTTACCATGAACGTATCTAGAACCATTAGGGGAAAGATATACCAAAAGATTTCCAAAAAACCTCTACGAAAACCTTTGTGATCCCATTGAACTTGCTTTGTGGAAATTTTATATTGATCAAAACATGAAAAAAAAGAAGCAATCTTCGGGAGCTGTAGGAAGACGCCATATATAAAGGTTACCCATAATGTTTCAAAGTAAACACAATTGAAAATGGTTGATGATAAGCAAAATCTCCAAAGGTTTTCAATCAGATTGTCCATATACTCGTAATTCACAGCCATTAGAAGACCACCTGCGCAAAGTCCAAAACGTAGAGACCATATGGTGATAGAGTTGCTCTTGCAAGTCATAATTAGCAAACTATATTTCCCTGCTGTTCGTGGGGCTGAAACATAAAATTCAATCACAGGGCCACCGCTTTACACCGTCTAATAACGATTACTCTTAGCAACCAGGTACATATACAACAGCTAGATAGCTTTCATAAAGGAAAAGAAATGTGAGAAACTGAGCAGGCAGTGACTCAGCAAATTTCGATCGACGTTATATACGGTTTACAAATTAACAATATGCAACTCCCTCAATATGTCTGCTACGTGACCTTCACCCTTTTACACCTGCTTTGATAAAATATTTACTAAGACGACAAAAAATTATCGAAAAAAAAACCAATAAAAAGTGGACAGCCTCTAGTATTCGAAAATAAATAATTACCATTGATATAACCGCTTTATGCAATTTATCTATTTTTATATTATTCCTGACACTTGCCCTCTTTGATGAATATGAACTCATAAATGGCTAGTATGTTCATCTTTACATTTTGTAATACTTATAGGACTCTCGATTGTCTTTAAGTAACAGAAATAGATTTTCTCAATTGAATGTCGAGATATTGAAAGGTGAGAATAAAGAAACATGATCATTCTTGCAAAAAATCCGATTAGAACGAAAAAATTATTAAAGCCCGGCCTACGCTGTAATAATTTGAAATGTCATTTAATGTTGTCAAAAACTGTCTATGTCATTCTTGTTTCAATTCAAAGAGCTTATATCTTCGCGCCAAAGGAATATTTTACCATTTTTGCGAGGCACCTTAGTTTCGTATAGTAGAGCGTAACAAAGTCAAAATGTCCTCTCCAGCTGGAAGAACAGTTACCCCGTTGATTAGCAGAATCAGAAACTTTATGGCGGGGGTAATTTGGTCAATTTATATATATTCTACCGTATTTTTACATTTTAAAAAGATAATACCTTTTAAATAAAAATAAAAGGAAAGGTTTCTCTGAGTGATAATATAGGTTTTTATCAAAAAATTTCATCAGAATAAGTAACATTGTCTTTCAGAGAAAAATTATGGAACATCAACGTTTTGAGCAGACTATATCACCAAGAACCCAACCTCCTCCGAATATCCCCGGAGGCATTGCTCATCATTTGTCACATAATAACTACTTTTTGAGAGATGGAAGACGAATAGCTAATGCACCAACCAATTCTTATTCATCTTCAAAATTAATATCTGCTGTTTCGGAGGAGTGAGTGTAGAATTTTAAAAAATTTTCGTGTATTATATACCCTATCTTTTGCAGACCATCGACGGTAGCATCCAGAACTCCTCGTCCTGGAGCAGTCTACAATTGGGATTGAAAACTTGTCTATTTATATTATAAAATATATAAATTTAAATGTTTTGAACTGACATTTATGCATACACATGTATTAATGATTAAAAATTAGATTAAAATGATCATTTTAAAAAAAGAAGGGAATAATATCGTATTAAATAATTGATGAACAAGTTGACTAAATATTGGCGAAACCGAGATATTCTCACGTTAGACAAATCGATTGAAGTTGGGTTAGACAAGAAAATACGATGATTTTATACCGAAGGCGATTTTCTTGGTGCAACAAGAAACTTGCTTATCAATTTTGTCAGTTTCATAAAACACCATATGTTTGTAGCAGCGCCTATTTGTTGAAACACATCTCCTTGCAATCTCAATTACAGTACTAATGAGATAATGATCAAAACATTTCTCTTGTAATAAACTAGCAAAATTATCTTCTAACAGATCAACTACAGTAAAAGATAATATAATACCAGAAATCGGTATTGAGTAGAGAAAGTCTACAATCAAATCAAAGAGAAAAATCAAAAAGAAAGCATTAAACTTTATAATCTCTTTAAAAAATACCTATACAGCTAAGACTCAACCTGCCGGATATTAAGATATTAAAGCATATCTGCCAGCATATTTTATGTTAATAACAACATGAAATATGCTGGAACTGGAAGCAAGCTTATTGGTAGCATTCATTTGACTAAGGTCGGTCGAAATCGTTTGATGGGAAGGTAAGTAGATTTCAATCGCAGGAAGTAAATAGTGTTTCAGATTGGTAATAGACAACAATTTTTTGTGTTTTTTGGTTGTTCTCTAAGAAGTTTCCATTCCTTTGGAAAGTGATTATTTGAAAGGAGATTAAGTTATAAACTGAAACGAAGAGACGCAATACAAACAACATCAAGTTTGTAAAACTGATTGCACTTATTGAATTCTGCATGTCGATAAACATCCATGGAAAACGACGACATTCTAAAGAATTTGTCGAAGGAGGCAATGTTACCATGGCCTAAAGATCCTGCTTATTTTCGAACAGCAATTATGTATGGTAGTGTACTAGGTATAGGATTTTTCGGTAATCTCCTGGTTGTAGTCGCTCTTTTGCATCGTTCTTGTCTACCAGATAAAAAGGAGAAAGTAATGACTATGTCTTTTCTCGTTAGTTTGGCCTTTGCTGATATCATATTTCTGGCATTTTGTATTCCGTTCGTTGTTTTTGTCCAGCTAAAGGTAAGCTGGTCGGGCGGAGATACTTTGTGTAAAGTAGCTTATTTTATTCAATTGGCTTCGGCTACATCGTCTATTCTCAATTTAACAGCAGTCACTATTGAAAGGTAAGATTTTCTACAAAAGAGCTATACAGGATGAATAGTCCCTGATATAGCTTGTATTTAGTTGCTAAAAAAGCAAAAACGTCATACGCAATCAACAACTGATGAAATTTACATCGGGAGAAAGACGCTCATTTTCGCTTATAATCTAAAATTCAATATGTGCACGTACTGATCACGCTAATGTCCCAGTCACAGCACATTCTTTCACAAATCTGCTAAACTCAGTCGAAAGGTGATTAAAAGCAAAGCTCTTCAATAAATTAGGTTCTTTTTTCTTTTTAAAGATACGCAGTTATTGTGCATCCGATTCGATCAAAACATTGGTACATCATTGGAAATGTCAAAAAGATAATTTTGCTTGTATGGTTTGCAGCTTTTAGTCTTGCCATCCCAAATATTTTTGTCAAGGTATTACCCTCAAACTGTTTGAAAACGTTAAACGGTTCGATCTACTTTGTATAATTAATTCATTTAGACAGAAGTGACGTACAACTATACATCGGCTGACGATAATAGCTCTACTGTGCGGACCTATTCTACTTGCTCTGATGGTTTAGAGGGAGGCAAAAGACAAGCACTAGCTTGGTATCAGTTTGGTATCCTGTTTCTCCTTCCTATCATAGTCATCATCTACTGCTATACATTCGTTATTAAGGTTTTGTGGGTTAGTACAAAGATGCTAAAGCATATGACTCAAGGGTGTGTTTTAAGATTATTGTTTTTGCTAATTATTAGATTTGTATCATGATTTTACAGAGAAAATGAGAATTGCAGGCAGCGTCTTACTCAGCAAACCAGTCGTCGAAGACATTTAGATCAAGCATCTGAAGCGAAAGAAGGAAGAAAACAGGTTATCAAACTGCTCCTGGCTATCGTCTTAATTTATGCCATCTGTTGGGGTCCATATTTGGCGCTGGAGCTGATGAAAGCATATGAGCTAACAATTTTGCACGCAAATCATGCTTTTGAGGCAACAGTGCGTTACATTCAGAGAGTTGATTTGTAATTCTAAATATTAAATTCTTTACTTTTACAGATTGTCATAATTCTATTACCAATGATTCAGAGCACTATTAATCCAATAGTGTATAGTTTCATGTTAGTTTACAGATTTAAGTTGAAGATTTCAGCTGTTTTCTCTTTTTGTTAATAGGTCAAAGAATTTTAGGCAAAGTGTTAAGAGCTTATTAAGATTCGGATTCTCTAAGAAGAAACAGGCAGATCGTTTGGAAATGGACGCTACCAAGGGGGGACCTACTGCTGCGACGGAAGTTTAACTTTATGTCTAATATTACGCTTATCTCTTAGCTAAATTTTGTTTAAAACGCTTATTCCTCCACCCCCTCCCTCCCCGAAAAAATAGGTTTCCTATAAAATGTACTGGAAAAATATACGAGAGATGACTTCCATTTAAATAATTGTCTATCTTCATTGTACAAAAAAAGACAACATCTGCGTCGTGCTTGTTTCAAATTCTATTAATTTTTTTGTCGAACTTTTAAGATATTTCTATTCCTTGTTTCCTAATACGCATTAGGTAAATAACATAGAATATTTTGCAGTTATAACTTTTGCTCCAGTTTGCTCGAAAATTTAAATTACTTAAATTATTAGTATCTTTATATGCGTGTACAAATAATAAAAAAACATTGACCCATTTAAGTCTATTTATTCTCATCTTAAAGACAATCAAGACTATTTGTTATTTTTATAATATTAATATTATTACATTTAATGTTTCCTACAGGAAAATATTATTAAAGAAAGGTTTATTTGTGGTGTGAAAACGACAAAATTTGTAGTTTTCTGATAGTTGTTACAATACAAAGTACAATTCGAAATACATTAATTAATTCTCCGGTCATATCTACTTTTTAGAAACATTGTGTTGAAACAATCTTTCTTTTTTTATATACATTATATACTGTAAATGTTTGCATACTAATATAATCTAGTACATAGAATATATAGCATATATATATATATATATTATTCTTATTTATTATTTATTGATTTTATAACATAAGTGCAAAGCTAAAGTACAATCGAGAATGATTAAGGAAAATGCTGTTTTACCTCAAACAGTTGTTACATAATCTTCGACCATTACGATTTCGGCTGGCAAATTATCATGTACAACTGGTAGTCTCTTAGGTTGAGTTTTCAGGAAGTAAAATCTACTGAAAAAATATCCTATTCCCGATCCCGTAACAACCCCTATGAAAATCCACAAATTGTAAGTCATCACACCCAACATAACCACATAGCTCAAACAAATGCCCAAAGTGTGTACAAATGCTTGAAAAGTTAGATTGCGAAGATTAAACCTACAAATAGTGCAAAAGATTGATTATGGGCCCTTATATATTATTCTAGCCGGCCTACTGATTTTTCCATTTAGATATGGAAATTGATTTTAAAACTTCGTTGAGAATAGCTAATAAGAAAAAGAAGACTATAGCCAATAGTAACTCTGCAATATTAGTCCCAAATATTATTATATAAATATCGTAATTTTAAAATATCCAGCAGCGCGGGTACGTTGTACTTACCCTGGAGGTCTTTGACAGTAAAACCTTCAAAGAGCACTACAAAGTTGTAGGAAATAAAAAAATACATCTGAAGTGACGCAAATTGAATGTAAGAAACGCACGAAATCTTTTAGGTACTTACCTTTTTTATGATTGCTTCAAAATCATACTATTTTCAAAAAAAAACCTCTACACTATCTTTCCAATGTTCTAACAATTGCATACAAACGTTTATCACAAGTAATTTGCTTAATATTGTAATCGTCGTATTGCTTCGAAGCAATACAATAGCTGTCCATCCAAACTTTGTTTATTGGTCTACACCTCAAATTCACGACTATGCAATGACAGGCCAGCTCTTTTTTTGAAACAATACATAAAACAAATAAATATATTTCCTGTGAGTTTCTAAGTAATTAAATAATTTATCAATTAATATAAAACAATGGTGCTAATGCATATTCATGTCTCTCAATATTTATATCTGCCTACTGAGGGTAGCTGGACTGTTAATAGTGTAAAATATATTTACAGAGCCACAAATAAATAAAGAATAGTAATTTTATACATCTCTTGCTCCCGCCAAATAACCTTGGGGGAAAATATTCAAGAAAAGTAAGCACCAGTTCCGCTTCGATAGATACCATATGAAAAGCGCGATGCACTATCTGGTTTCTTTTCAAAATGGACAACTATGTAAACTGGTATCATATATTAACGGATATATATATATAACAAAGAAACAGAACGTAATTTTACAATTCTTCTAACATATTTCGACATCAAATATAAAATTTTCCCATTTATATGGTGAGTGTGATTATAAGTGCATTAAAACGTAATTACGTAAATAGATTTGCTAGATCTAGATCTTTCTGTGCTCGGGGAAAATCTCTTCCATTCCAAGTTAATCGTTTCACTATTTAGACATGTCGGAAAATGCGAAAGACGAATCCTCTTCGAACAGCACAGATGGAAATTCAAGTGGACGAAATGATGCGAAAGCAGTTGGTGAACCATTGAAACCTGAGGAATCTCTAAGAGTAAAACTTATATTTATTAATAAGAATTAATAATCCTCACTTGGCATCATATTTACATTAGGCAAATTCATCATCCTCATCCCAGTCTATTGTGATTGGACAGCATTCGTCATCTTCTACACCAGCATCGGGTCATTCACAACTAGTTGCTCAAGCTGCACAGGTTCCCACTCCAACTGTAATGCACATGGTTCCTCCACAACAAGCAGTTTGTTTTTTATATGCAAATTCATTGTGAAATGCAATGTAATATTTTATTAGGTTGTTCAAGATGGTCAACACTTTGCAGTAACAAGCCAGGGAATGGTTCTATCTGCCCTTCCACATCATAATCTAAACGTAATGAGAGGCGGTCAAGGCCTACAGTTAATAAGTCAACAACAGTATGGTTTACAGCAACCCTACTTCAATACTCAACTTATGCTAACTCGTAAGTGATAAACAGTTAGTAGAAAAAAATTTTATCTTGTTGACACATTCTTTTAGCTGTCAATGGGCAACAATTTGCTATTCAACAAAGAAATATCGCTTCAACACAAGCAGGAAAACTAAGTAATCAGCTGTTGAATACAGTGAGTACTCTCTACAGCACTAACTGTTAAAAGTTAAAAAGCTTTCACTTTTGACTTTAGGTATCCTCAACTTCTTCAACTAATTCAGTGGCTAAAGTTACTCTTTCCTCTTCTTTAATTCCTAGTGCTGAACAAATAAATTCCATAAATGATACATCCTCAACAAATGCTGTTACCAGTGCAAATTCACCAACAAAGCCCAGTGTCGCTACCGTTATGCCTCAAATGAAACAGCAGCTTTTCCAACCTTCGAGTCAAAAGAGTGTTGTAATTGGTAAGTTGGATGAGTTGTCTTCCTACCCAACTAAAGTTTCTATCTTGTAGCAGTTCCTACTGCAGGAGCAACACAGCCTTTTGTCGTCGCTAACAAGACGCCTCAACATTTTGGACAGGTGAATGAATTACTTCATTATTCAATTGTATAAATCCAATACGTAATTAGATACGTTACGATAATATTTTAGTGTTTGCTAACTCCGACAAAATTGATCTTAGTCATTTGATATTCATGTTAAATTTAATTTTAATCAGACACATAAATCATTTTAGAGGAATTTCATTTAATTAGATTTTTTATATATATTTACATTTGTATTTATACAGTATTTTTTTACCGTTGTCTATTGCTTTACAGTTCATTCGACTTGCCAACGGCCAGCAAGTTATTATCAATCAAGCAGGAATAACTAATCCTACGATCTTTCAACAAGTTCCGATTCAACCAAATGCACAATTCATCGCCGCTACCACAACTCAGCCAGCCAGTGGTCCTGTCATCATTAGGACCAATTCTAATGTTCAACCCATTCAACCTCCCAAAAAAGATAGTACCACAACGAAATTGTTGGCTAGAAAACCCGGTTCGCCGGCGACAACCCTTGCTCGAGGACGCGTTAAGCCTAAGGCCTTGTCAAAAGCCACAGCTGCTCAGAGGAATGCTGCCCTGATGGCAGGGGTAATATCACCTCCCGAAAATCCTTTAGTTTCGGCCAAAAATACTGTTCCTATTCATACAACTCTCTCATCGGCTGTAGTAGCCCCAGGATCTCAATCAAGTACCATCCAACCTCAATCAGCAATAGAAAAAGATAATATGACAATAGATCAACCAATAATTTCAAAACCCCAGAAAGCTGTCAGTCCCATGAAAATTGAAGAGAGAGGAGAACCAGAATCCAAATCATCGTCTGAAGAGGAGATATTGAATAATAAAGATGCCAAAAGTAGCTCAGTCGAACTTCCTACCTTTCATGATAAAAGAACAGGGAAAAAAACAGCAATTGTGAGACCGGATGTACTTGTTCATGTTATTGATGGTATGGTAATTTGTGAGTCAAAGGAACCTTTAGATGATGGCTTTGATGTGAGTAATTGTGGAAAACCTACATTTTTATGAATCAATATTTTTCAACTTAATTTTCTTTTTAGTTGGCTGGTCTTACGAATACCGAATTACCAACTTCAGATAAGGAAGAAGTTTCAAGTGATCTATTGAAGGCTAGGGAAAGTGAAGATGTAGGTAGTGAAAGTGGAAATCAAGCTGGAAGTGGGGAGACTCCAAAATGTGAAATATGTGGTAAAGTGGACAAGGCATCTAGATTTAAGCGATCTAAGCGTTTCTGTTCCATCTCTTGTGCTAAAAGGTAACTTATCTCCAATTTGCTAAAATTTTGAATTTGATGCTTTCATTGAAACAGATATAATGTATGGTGCTCAAAAAGAATTGGTCAAATTGAACCTATAAAAATCGAGCAGGATGGATCTGTCAAAGTCGAAGATAGTAAGCAACGAAAGAAAAAGACCTATTTGAAGAGAAAATGGAAGAGAAGTCAGAATGGAGGAAGATTAGATGGAAGCCCTTTGAAAAGGGTAAGTATTTAAGTTGGAATTATAAGACTAAATGACTCAAAATGTTTTTTTAAAAGGATGCCTCTAATAAGTTCCCTGTTTCAAGTACTTCTGAAGATTCAGATAATGACAAAATGAATCTCAGAAAAGTACAAACTAAGAATGTTACGGCGAACGAATCGTCAAGCGATAGCGAAGATGAACTCCCTCGTTCAATAACCACATCATTTAGTGCAACAAATTCACCAGGGCCTCTTTCACCTGGTGCAACCTCTGTTGATGAGGTACCTCCTCCTCCATCCGGCCATCCGGATACATGGACTGTAAATGATGTTTATGCTTTCGTTAAAAGTATTATTGGCTGTCAAACCTATGCCGATTGCTTTCGCCAAGAGCAGATTGATGGTCAAGCCTTGCTACTATTAAAACATGAGCATTTAATGTCTACGATGAATATGAAACTTGGACCAGCCTTAAAACTCTCGGATTTAATTAAAAAAATATCAGAATAATTGACATTTGTTGTATTTTTGTACTTTTAAGTTTTCTTAACATTATACAAATAGAAATTTCTATCCACAAAATATGAATATACTACCAGTTTCTCCGACCTATTTTTTACCTTCAAACTCTCAAAATAGCCAGCTCCTAACCTTGTTTAGAAAGACTAAGTTTTTGACAAGGGAAGTTCCATGCAGGGAGAACTAACACACGAACGAATGAAAAAGCGTAAACGTCTGGAATCAACTAGAGGGCAAATTGTCTTAGAAAGAAACCATTATCTGATATGACATGTCATCCCAGGTTAGATCAATTTTGTCCAATACATTAGGCTTTTATGACTGCTTTAGGTCAATTAAATATCATTCAAACCAAAGGCTGGGATCACTGACTAAACATGCACTGGATGAAAGCTTAATTTCTAAAGCCAATCTTAAGAAGAGATGGGTAAATATGATTTGAATTACGGTAAATATTTTCTAATGCTTTAATTTATATATTGCTATTTTCGCTAAATCTACATTAAGCTTAAAGCTTGCAGCTTAAGTTAGCACAAAAACTCATTTACAGTTCTATTTAGTTAAAGGGTGAGAAAATCGTTAGGCATGAAAAAGGGATAAGTGTCTTTTTACAAATTTTTCATAACTTCCACCTATCAAACAAAGAATTGTCTACTGGAACTACGAATGGGTGGTGCCAACCTAAGATTATAATCGTTTACACTTAAACCTTGTTCTTGGAGAAAATTTACAAGTGATGTTAGTGTTTGTCGGACGGGACTAACAGTGATATTGATCTTTTCCTCTTCTGTTGTTAAAAGCAAAACACCAGGCATCCTTATCAATTGGGCCAGAATTCTTCTGGTTTGATTTCCATTATCAAACGTTTCTCTTCTAGAACGTCTTGCCTGTCTCTGATCAACTGAGCGCATACGACGGTTTTCTGAATTTCTGTCTACTGAACGGCGTCTTGGCATGCTCCTAGACCTTGATGGTCGGTGGTATTCTTCATTTAGCTGCTCTTGTGTGATTTCTAGTTCAGATAAGATCTCTGTTGCAAGAGCGTGAATAGTTGCTGTATCTGCAGAACTCCCCGCGGATATTTCACTTGAAGGCGAGGAGGGAGATCTATTCCTCTCTGGGGGTCTAACAATTGGTTTAACTAAGCCGACAGGCTTAGGTTCATTTAAGTTTCTAACAGGAGTAAACGGCCCTGTTTCTGAATGATTAAATTCCTTAATTTCGAAATTACGATTGTTATTACTGTCAGATCCAGTCTGTCGTCTTATAGACTTTCTAGGCGAATATGTAATCTTGGGTGTGCCTTGACTCAATGAACTACTTTCCTCGCTCCAGCTGATTCTTTCTACCTGTCTATCTGCTGATAATAATTTAAAAGGCTTGAGATGACTATTCGAGCCGACTTTAATTTCAATCGAGTCACAATTTTTTAAGTTTACATGATAGTGGACGTTGGTGATATTTTCTTCCTTTTGTCGATTTTCGGAACGGTCATTGTACTGTGAAAGATTCAATTCATGTGACTCTAAAGAAAGTTGACCAGTAGAAAGAGATTTGCAAGGAGAGAGCGAGTTATCAATATACTTCTTCTTGTCTCGCTGATTAAAGCAAAAGATAAACAAGCTTTTAAAAGAAAAATACGGCTATTACCTTGAATTTACTTATCACCTTCTTGAATAGCCCTTTCTTTCTATTTGGTGAATTATCCATTTTTGTTATTGACTCGAACAAACAGGCTCAATTGATATTAAAATTTTAATGAACTAGACTTGACAGGCTTCTCTTGAAAAAATCGCAAAATGGCCTTCGGCTAACACAGTACACATACTTAATGCGATATAAAATCAAATTTGATATTTTTGCTTACATTTTTCGATTTCATTCAACACATGCTCTAACCTGTCAAGATTGTCGAAAATTTTCTATATGACTTGTTCGTTTCAGCACGTGCCCCCCGTCGTCTGCTCTCAAGCTGTGTGGTTGCTAGTAGAAACCAATAGAAAAGGTAAACCAGTTCAATTCCTCAACTTTTATAGCTTGCATTAATAATGATGACTAATGCATTCATGGAAATCCCGATCGTTATTAAGCGATTGAGCGGGTTAATGATTTACAAATATAGTTTTCAATCTGAAATATTCATACCCTAGGAAAACGAAAATATCAACGCCATCTATGATCTAAATGTTTCCTATTTTGTTTCAGAAACAATCCATTTGTTTTGGATCGATTGAAAACAACGGGATAACCGAATATGTTTTTATTTATTACGTTGGAAATGGAGCTTTATGTGTATTTTATAATCATTTTAACACGATATTTAAAAAGCAATATTTAGATTTCTTTTTTTTGTATTCCAAGCCTGTTCTTATCTATGAAAGCCTCCTACTTAACCACAATCCTAAACAGAATGCTCCCACGACGGTTAAGGAAGCACCGAGAATAGTAACTGTCGTCTCTGCTGAAGGCAAATAATCGGTAATTGTAGTCGTAACTCCTTCTGGCACCAAATGGAGGACTGTTCTCTAAAAATAAGAGAAAAATTTATGAGAGTATTTTGAGTTGGATATTTTTAACTTACCCATCCACCATTTCTCGCTATCCACTCCGAAATATGTTCAGCGGATAAAAATCGAATGACGTATTGCGTCACATTTATAAAAAATTTTGACCAGTTTCTTTGTAAAACGTAAACGCCAACTCTATATCCAAAATACAAAAGTGCTACAATTTGACCCCAATTGATCTCACCACGTTGTATGATACTGTAGGAAATTGATATAAGATACAGATTATACTATTTAAAATAAATCTCTCTACTTACTGCCTTGCAACTTGAGCGAATTGTTCATAAGCTGTCTCTTGCGTCATATCCAGTTTGTCAATATATTTATCAACTTTATTTCGCTTTAATCGGAGAGTGTCGCTAATCTCCGCAAGTCTTCTACCGATTTTCGCTTCGACGCTTAGTGGATCTGGTATTTCTACAGGTGGAACAGGAGTTAAAGGGTCGTGCGTACGATGCATTTCATGAGTAAAATGGGTGAAAATATCGCCGGCTTGTCTCTCAACATTATCGGCTGTATCAGGCTGAATGTCTTCTTCGTCGTCTATTTTGAGCACCGGTCTTTGTGTTTCATCATCGTTGCCGGAAAAATCATCGCCCTCTCCATTCCATGAGGCCATGACGTAAGCTAAAAGGTTTAATTACAGATTTAAGATTGTAAACAATTAAACTAAATCAAAAATAGGTATAACGCTCAGGCTTACTATATGGACGGAGATTTTGTCAACATCCAAAAGCTTTCTAATACACTCTACAGCGGAATAAGAGATATCACTTAACGCTATAGTAGCAGAAACGATCGAGTATCTTATTGAGAGAAATTGAGACAACCATTAAATGACGTGTTTCCGGAACTTCCGGGATTCTCCGACGCGCGAAATTCAAATTCTATGTAAATAACTACACTGGTGTATTTTTCAAAATTCTTAAAAATTTACTTTCTGATAAAAAATATAGATCAAAAAGAGAAGTAAAAAATTTGATGACATCATAGAGGATCGGCACCGGGGCAAAGATGATATTGTTGCATCTTCCAAGACATTCGAAAAGACTTCAGTCCAGTAAATATTCGCCTTCTGGACTATAGTGGCCCTTTGAAATATATTAATTTTTATTTACTTTTATTATGTGTACTTGTAACAAAAAGACTTACTGAAATATTATATGTCCGTTGGGTTGGTTTGGTGCCTTCCAAAATAATTTTTCATTGTGCTTCCAAGACCTAGAATAATGTGTTACAGCTGATTGTTTTTTACCAAAACAATCCAAATACTTTAGAGCGTTTCCGACAGGTTCGTTATTCAACTTTAACAGAAATTCTCCCACAGCATTTTCTTCCATGTGGTACCCTGAATCGGTTTTACACGAGACCTTTCTAGCTTGCAAAAGCAATCCACTGAAATAGATGTGACCCAAAGTTTGATTGGCGGCAACCCTAATTGTTATTTGATCATTCTTGTTGTAGATGTACTTATCCAAAATAATTGAATATGGAGGTTTCCTGGGTCTACCTTGGATAGGTCGAATGTTTATAGGCAGTTCAAGATGACCCTCCAAGTCAATGCTTTCATAACTTCCTCTCCTGAATGAAGGTTTCATGTTTTTACAAGCTGACAAAGGGGCTCCATCAGGTAGTGATTGGATTAGTGGTACTAAAAGGATTAATATTTTGATTTCGCGTAACATTTTTTTCACCTGCACAATAGAAGTGATAACAGATAATAATCTATTTATGGACAGATGGCGCTTTTTTTAAATAAGAAGCAAAGCCGATTAATAGGTCTATTATTTTATTTGTATTTATTAGAAGATCAACGACTACGATATTCAATATTTAGCTTTGTACCATAGTTTGTCTCTTTCGACATAGTTTCTCAAAATAACGAGGCGGCGCGCGTTAAAAACATTAAAGCGGGTTAGCTCTATATATAGGAGCGCACACACTTTTCTGTCGCCGCCTTATGAATTACGCTGAGAGAAGATCGAAAACAACCGGTTGAATACTACTATACCTCTCTATAGTATTTAAGTAAACATAAGAAGGCAAACGGTGGCGTTAGTTAATTACGAACGAGAGACGGATTAGCTCTCTACAGTCCGACTTCTCATCATCTTTCTTTATCATGATTGTTCTACATTTATTTTGCGTCATCTCTCTTCTACTTATCTACACATCTACTGCCCAAATAGAAGTTCACCGAGGAGGTAGTGTTAACTTAGACGAGGTTATTGCCGCCATCTTTGGTAATCTTAAAGGGGAGAAGGATTGTGTTTATGAAGCTGAAACAATGTACCGATGCCGCCGCATCGGCTCTATTCGACCGAAGGTAATCGTAAAACGAACGCGACAAATGGTTTTTGCAATTTCTTATTTGTTTTCGTTGTTTTCACTTCAAAGACGTGTAAGAAATCCCCGTTGTAGAAAAATAGTATTTACACTTGCGCATATAAATTTGTTCTTAACGGCGAACCGGGGGGAATTGATCGAATCATGAAAAGTAAATTTTCTCTCGCCCGGCCAACCGAAATTACTCTTTTCAACATTTGAATTTTGCAATTCACAGATTTTTCCATGTGACCTGACAAACGTTCGTGTGGTCTACACTCATAATGGCTCACCTTTTTTCGACCGTTTCCAAATAGAATTTAAACGATACTCAACCAACAATTCAACAATTAACGTTCAAAAGTTTACGTTAAATTTGACTGTAATTGAACCAGTTAACTCTGTGTTCAATATCCGTCAAACACTTAAAGTCACAATTCTTAATGTTAGCAAGCCAATCGACGACACTTTCCTTACGTTCCGTTACGACTATTCTCAAATATTGGACACTTGTGATGTGGCAGTTGGAGACGAGGAATGGCCAGCTTACGGTAGCCTACAATTTCAAGGGGATTGCAAAGACTTTCTGCTTGTTTCAGCTGTTTATAATCAGACAAAACAGCCCAATCCCGGTCTTGATTATATACCTATAAAAGCGGTTATTGAGAAAAAAGATAGTATAGCCAGTAACGAGATCTTCTACCTTCCCGTTAATATTGTTGGACCTTTTCATAATATTGCACCTGAAATTCATTGGAAAAAAGACGAAGTAATTTTAAAATCATCTTCCTCTTTCCTTCTTGACCATCACCTTCTCACCGTGAGAGATCCGGACGGTGACGACGACCGACTGCTAGTAATCGAAGTGATCGATGCGGGAGACACCATAATTACTTTCCTCCATGCTGATGGTCAACACGTCACCTGCTTTTCAGCAGCTCAGTTAAAACGCGGTCAGATCATTATTTGGGCGCCAAGTATTCGATACGATAAGGTTGTGAAATTAAGGGCTCGAGCTAGAGACCGGTGGCTATTATCTAGTAAAATAGCAACAATTCGTATCCGAATAGACGCTTCTCCATTTCAAAGACTGGATGCGTGGGCCCAAGGTGAATTACTCGTAAGACGGTTTGGAATTGTTACTATCAATAACCTAAAAGTGATCAGCTCGAATGAAAACGTTAGAATATACGTAAAGGCACTACCTGCGTTAGGTAGCTTATCAATTAATCAAGAGATTTCCTTAGAAGATTTGAGAAAGGGCCGCCTTAATTATCGACACCAATCGACGTCAGAGAAATACCACGATCAAATAATCTTTACAATATTGTCTTCGCAGACTACTAAACAAGTCATAGTATCAATTCGAATAGTTTCGTTAGAAATTCCAAAAATTCACATAATTACGCCCGATAAACCCATTAAAATTAATGAACAGACTCGAATAACCAATCGTCATCTGTCGACTAACGAGATGGACGGGGAGGATGTTATTTTCAGAATAGTTCAGGAACCGAATTGTGGACGAATTATTAGAAAAACTAGAGATTATCAAAGTGGAAAAACGATAGTTTCCGATTTCTCTCAACATGATATTCGACTCGGTCGAATATACTACAGTCCAAAAACAAGCATAAACTGCCATAAACGGGATTTGATTATCGTTAAGGCAAGAAAATGGTGGAATAAGGGAAAATGGTCAGTAGAAAGAAAAGTTCGCTTTAAAGTCAGAGTAAAAACAACGTCTCCCACCGATTTAATTAAAGCATATGCAGGTGCACCTGATTCGTTAGAGATTCCCGAAACACATATGGCTCGCCTTTCTTCTTTATTTTTCTATTATGAGCCATCAAATGTACTCTTTCGCATCGTCAAACAGCCGTATTTTAGCGGCTCGAATGATACAATCGACGCTGGAATAATTGCATTAATTCACGACTTGAATGAACTTCGAAGCCGAATAAACAGCAATCTTTCCTTAGCTACTGAATTTAGTAAAAATGATATTAAAAGAAACAGAGTAATATATTTTCCTCCATTCGAAGATATTGGTTATGAAAAGCGATTAGTAACATTTGCATTTCAACCTTTCATTGGAAAGCATAACGGGGCAATCCGTATCATCCGGATTACCTTATTACCAGTCAATAATAAAGCACCACAAGTTATGCCAACTAAATTAGCTCTACAGCAAGGCTCTAAGATCTCCTTTAATTTAAATATTTACGATGAGGATACCCGTGATGCTGACATTCGTATTCAACTAAGAACTCCACCAAAGGAGGGATCTGTCATATTACTCTCAAATACCTTAAAATCTGGCCAATCGTTTTCGTTGGCCGATACGAAGAAGGGCTCCTTGATATATATTCACGACAACCGGTCATTATCGATAAGGGATCAAATTTCAATAGAAGTTGACGATGGTCGACACAAGGTAAACTCTTCTATAGACATCGATATCCAACCACATACCCATGAAATAATTAAATCTTACGCTCAAACTATTCAAGTTGAAGAAAGAGGCTCTGTTCAGATTTCATCTCTTAATATATTTAAAAAAGAGAGGCGAGTAAAGTATCGACTAATTCGTCCACCAAAGTATGGTACTTTAAACTCATCTTTCAGCCAAAGAGATATTTTAAAAGGCAAAATCCTTTATCAACACGTCTCGGGAGAGATTGGAGCCGAAGAATTAACCGACTTTTGCCTTTTAGAAGGCAAAACAAAAAAACAAATTCGTCATGTCAAACTTGTTTTCGTTATTATTCCAATTGATAAGAAATCGCCTGTTATTAAAAATGCTAGTCCTCTATTTATAAATGTAAATGGAGATTCTTGCATAACAAATAATGAATTAACCGTTGAAGACCCTGACTCATTGCTAGATTATGTCAATTTCGCCATTATACGTCAACCCCGATTCGGAGCTTTATTGAAAAGGAATTTAACACAAATATTGTGGCATTTTTCATTAAAAGATATTTACGAACACCGAATTATTTACCGAACTGCTAAAGGAAACAAAGGAAGGAAAGATTCCTTTGAAATTTATGCAACAGATGGGAAAAATTATTCCCCACCTACTACGATTAATATATTGAATAGAAAAGAAACAAAAGTTATGGCCGATTCGATTAAGGGAAAATTTGTAAAAAATTCTTTTGGCCTTAAAAAGAATTCCCTAAGAGTTGTAGAAAGACGAGAAACTGCTCTAACTGAATATCATTTGAGTATTTCGGGAGCCAGAACTATTCCAGCGGCTGATATCAAATATACGGTGACAAAAGCACCAACTCTTGGAATTTTGCATTATATAACAGATAGAGGGCGTAGCGTGACGTCTTTTACACAGGCGGATATTAATGCCCAGAAGCTGGCTTATGCACATCATTCAAAATTAGATATAAATTCTGACAGGTTTAATTTTTCAGTTAGAATATCTAATAGTAAAGTAATAGAGGACAATTTACTAATTCAAGTAAAATGTATTGATGTAGAATTGCCGACTGTAACGGTTTTTCTACCATTAACAGTTGGACAAGGGGAAAAGAGTAAAATAAGTAGAAAAAATCTATTTACATCGGATCCTGATACTGATTCAACTCAGATTATATATAAGATTATATCTCCACCGTTTAATGGACAAATTCTTGTGGGTAATGATACTGTAAAGAATAACTTTAGTCAATTTGCAATCGATAATGGAGACGTTTATTATAGAAGCGATGGTTCGGATAATTCTATTGACTTCTTCCTCCTTCACCCTTCAGACTCACACAATTTAGGGTTTCTGCGCAACGAGACTGTAATGAAAACATCACTCTTTTTCACAGTACTCATTCAGCCACCAACTGTGTATGTACCTGTCATTCGCAATAAGATCCCCGATAAGATTCAATACTTTGACAAATATAGAAAGTATGGGTTTTTAATATCTGATTCATACTTGAAAGCTGATAGTATGGATGTGACATTTTTAATTCATTCCACGACTACGCAAGGTTATATTTATGATCTTAAGGAAAAGAGCAGAATTTTTAATAATTTTACTCAAAAGCAAGTTGATGATGATCAAATAGCTTTTCTACTCAATAAGAATACTTTAAGAACGGAAGACTCTTTCAATTTCACAGTAATATACGGACATGGACATTCATTGCCTAATAATCAATTCAAAGTCCAATGGTCTACAGCTATTTTCTCCAAAACCAGACATATAATTTGCGAAGATGTTGGCCTATACGATATACTTATTCAACGATTAGGTAAAAACGATATAGAGGCAAATATTCGAGTGAAAGTCAAAGAAATTACTGCAAATACATTGTCGGATTTTATACCTGTTAGTCCATCTATTGTGCATTTTGATGTAAAACAAACGGTGGCCAAATGGACAATACGAACAGTACTTGATAAAGAAACTGAAAAGAATGAAAGATTCGAATTAGAGTTGATCGATGGCGAAAACGTAGTTGTCGGATTTCGTAAAAAGGCCTCTATAGAAATTGTCAATTTTGACAGAAAAAAATGCGATGAATATATCGGTATGGTGACATCTTTGTCGAAATACGAGAATGAAGCGATACCGCGAACAACCAGGAGCCGATATAAGAAACGACATAAGAAGCTCAAAAGGAGAAAAGAGAGAAGCGGAATGGTAAATTTAATTTTTGTTTTCTTGATCTCTTGCTTAATTTTTAAATTTTCACAGAGCTGTGGGCGAGATTCACTTAATTTCGTAAAATTAGATGTGAAAACGTCAAAAACGTTCAGATGCAACGGAGTTGAATGGGAAGAATGGAATAAAGAGCTTGATTCCCAACAAAGAAATGATCAAGTGACAATGACCTGTCCATTCGGTTGGATAAATCAAATAAATGGCGCCTGTTACAAGGTCTTTCGAAAACGACTCAATTGGATTGACGCAAGAAAAGAATGTGCGAAAATTGGAGGAGAGTTGCCCAGAATTAGGAACCATAATCATCTAGCTCGATTGCTTACTTTAATGAAAAGACCTTTTTGGACTTCTATTAAATATATTGAGGGCCGTTGGGTATCAATTGGAGGTAAATCGGTGAATTATCTTCGGTGGAAAAGAGGATATCCTCGTAAGCATAAGAGGAGAAGGCTCCCTAAAACTTGTGTACAAGTTGACGGTCGGGGACAAATGGTAAATCGTGTATGTAATGGAAGATCATATTTTCTTTGTTATCAAAAAGCAGCTTAATGTAAGTTCCTAGTATGTATTGTGTATAGTATATTGTTTCTTACGCCATCTATTGGCTGTGCTTATTAGATCGTATCGCTTCGTCAGAACATTTATCTAGTACGATTGATGGAGGAAAAGTGCTAGAAGATTTCCACTTATGTTGTATTTAAAGCAATGTATATACATACGTAGTAGTAGATCTAAAGACTTATTAAATGTAAACTTTGTAAATCACAAAACAGTAATTTGACAGAGCTCCTCCCCGCTTTCTACATTATTATTTTCATTAGAGGGACGCCGCTCACGATCGTCTACTGGCCTCCATAAGTTATTTTTCGATGTTTCTTCTGTGTCGTCTGCAGTATTATTTTCCGTCTCTCCTGGTTCTTTTCGCCGTCTCTTTGAACCAATAGCTATAGGAACTCTGAGTGACTCTGATGTAGTTTCTGATGCTTCTTCTTCTTCTATAATTGGTTCGAAAATTGTTGTTTTTGTAGTTGATTCTGATATTTTTCTATCATTGACAATTTCGTTGGGGCTTGTTCCATCCTCTGAACCATCGTCACTGCAAGAATTTTCACGCTCCTTTCTAGGCGATGTATTAGGCTTATGATGCCAATGAAAGAGGTTAGCAAGAGACATACGGCGATTCATATTTGAATGCCGGCGCTTGTCGTGACCTTTCCCAAGAGCTACAGCAACCATCGGAATGATACTCTGCTTAAGATTTCTATATTGCTCTCTTGCTGTTTTTTCTCTTAGGTTAGGAAGCTCTCTCATGTACTTATCAATAGCTTTCTCGTCCAAGTATGTCGTGTAATCCGTACGTTTCTAAAAAGAACATAATAAAAGTATTCACTTTATAAAATCATAAGTACCAATAATCAAGGAATTCAAATATTTGCTTGACTGCTGTTGAAAGCTTAAAAATCGAAAGGTTAGAAGCTGCGGGCTCGTTCGACCAGCTGCATGTACACGTTTTTAGAAGCAGAAAAATCTATACACAGATGTCTAACTATATTCGACGAGGAAAGATAAATGATTATTTAATGCAGTTGACCGTTTCAAATTACCTTAATATGACTTGCTATTAGAAGAGTGATAGATAGAGTATAGGTAAATAAAACGGCGACGACGTAATACATGGCTCCGGAACTATCCTGCTTTTCTTCGTTCCTCTCCGTAGAAGTACTAAAGTTCAATTCTACACCGGATGATTGATCAAATGATAAAAATCCATTCAATGTTTCATTCCTATCATTCGTCAACCAAAAGCGGTACTTTCCTGCCATTTTTATTCTTAACAACCACTGCAGACTATATGTGCGCTTCTGTCAAAGCGAATTTATATTTTCGTTGGCAATATCCGGCGGCGGAGTTTTAACCCTTTTTTCGTTCCGATCTTTTCTTTACTACTGCAAGAATTTAACCAGTGACAATTGTAAATTATACTAACACAATGGCATAAAATCAGTCAGCGCGAGAGTTATTTATTGCGCTTAATTACATCGAAACTCCTGGAACGTTTCAGTCGTCGCCAAACCGCTTAATTTCGCATGTCGACTACTTTTTATACCTTTTCTGTTTCTATTTTTTTTTTTGCACTTTTCCCTTGAGTCTTTAAACTGGCACGCTAACGAGCGGCTTTCAATCGAAGCAGAGTCAGTCCCAATCGCTGTTTTTCTCCTAATCACAGACGGCGTTTATAGCCCGTCTCACAGTGCATCTAAAGCGTCTAAGCGTTCTAACAGCCTTGCCTTCCTTTATAAAGTCTACGCATGAATATGAAACCATTGTTAAAGTTTAATAAATGATTTTTCCATTCATGTGTTTATTCTTAAGTAAATATAAAATTAATATACCAGTTAATCTCCAAATATATGAGGTCATATGAATGATATCCGTCTCTTCTCCTTTTCTAAAGTCGACTGGTGGCGCTAGCTATTATTTAACTTCAGCTAGATGGCGTTCTAATAGAATTGGGACGAAAATTTTTTTCAAATGAGGGGGTTTAGTATTATAAGTACATAGAGGATTTTCTGAATCAATCAAGTGGATTGAAAAATTTCTAAAAGTTCCATACAGACCAGGTATAATCCTTTGTTATTTATTACTGATCAATCAATCGTCTGATTGGAGAAAAACGATAAAAAGATATTCTCTCTCTGTCTAATCTCAATAATTGAGGATTATAGGCGAGAGGGTAATGCCAGAGTAAATGTCATTGACTGTGAGCGCATTTTTTTCTTCTCTCGACGCCATTCGGATCGTTTAGCAAACGTCTCGCAAGCAAAATATTTACCGAAGGTCGAGTGGATCTCAATACCTTTTTGTCTCAAAACGGTAAGTTGACGCAACCTATAAACTTCTTAACGTTGAGCAAACAATCTGTTTAGACAGATTTATTTTAAATATATCGATCAATGATAGTTCCACTGCGAATACGCTTGTAAAAATTCTATAAATAAAGAGATTCTTCACTCTTTAAGCTGCTAAGTATGCCGTAAAGTATCTACAGCATGTAGACGATAAGCTGTTCATATACTAAGCATTCATGAATTCTAGCGCAGTCTGCTATATGATTCCTAAAAAAATATTCTTTGTATATATGTTCAGGTGGTGTTTGAGGATATTCCATACTTTGATATATAACAAAGTTCTTTATTTTTTCCTTTAGAATTACCGAAATGTTGAATATAATTATTTTAATAAGGATATTGAGTTCATAGTGACGTTGCTAAGTAGACAGTCGCCTCGAGTTTCTACGAATAAGAGCCACCTGTTTTATTGCACACGATAGTATTCGAAATTGAAGAATGAGTCTGGTAGAAGGCAAGCATAGAATAACGCTAACGATTAAGGATAAGGATAATTCATCATTTAAAGGCCTACTTTTTATCACTAATTCATCAGAGAATTCAACACCTCTGCCCACTCCTTATGATCAAATTGGTGCATCGGTAGGATATTTCATATTCTAAACTAAGTGAAAGTAATAGGGAGTTTTAAGTCGGAAAGGGCGGGATTTAATATATTATTAATATGCAATTATAAACAATTTATTTCTCCTCTACAGTCATACGTAATTGCTGTTGTACTTGTATATGGTTTATCAATTGTCATGCTCATTGCATCTCACATTAAAAGAAGGCATGATAAAGCCATGGAAGATAGGCAAATTGAAAAGTATATACAAGCGGTTCCGAATCTTAAAGAGAAATCGGCAAGGGACACTTATAGAAATCTAAAGAGATCTATTGTTCCAATAGTAGCAGTGGCTTTAGCCAGTTCGCCAACATTACCAAAAGGTACACGAAATAAATTTGCGAATTTGACTTTTACTCCTCTACCAAAATTTGTCATTCATCCTCCGGAAAGTGAACATCGAGGATCTCTAGACAGCGGGAAGTGTTCACCTTCTATATCGTTATCCACAAAATCATTACTTCATGAAAATGAAGAGTGCATTGACGTAACCACTGTGGTCTAGTCGCGACATCTGCTGGCTTATATGTGCATTAAACTGACACCTGTAGTTTGACTTTTTAACTGAAAAGTTTGCATTATTTATACACTTTACAGATTCATACCAGCGGCTATGCAAGGGTGATTTTTAGATGAGTGAATTACTGATAATAGTTATCTGAAATGTTTAGTGTATGCGCGGGCGCATGGGAAGTCAACCAATGACGTCGGCGTCCGTTTAGCGTGCGTTTGCAGTCAAGAGACAGTCTGCAAACAGAATGGAAGACTGCCGTTGGGCTCGTCATCAACCGACTCTTACCCACTTCTCTCCTTCTCTCCCATCTTGTTCTCTTCCGCAGATACCCAGACCACAGCAATATCCATTTGTCGTAAGTCTGTTACATATTTTATTATTGTTATACTATAGTTTCTGTGATATATGCATCCAATTTATATCATACAAAGACAAGCGTATATTTTATATAACATACTAATATAAACTAAGGCTAATAGGTTGAATTCGAAATTTATTCAAACTTATATTCATGTTAATTATAGATTTTAAAAATACACAAATAGAAGGATTGCACACAAACGAAGCTCAAAACAGTTTAATTTTGCACTTGCCTGTATATCTGATTAAAATTTGAAATACGACACTTTAACTAGGCGACCAACGAAAACTGTTGGTCAATTTCAATCTCTTAATTAATCGTATCAGAGACCTGGATCATAAAGAATTACTAAAAATTTTTTATCACTTTCCTGTAACGCTTCTCTTCCGCCAAAACAGTCTTTTCCTTTCGCAACGTTAAATATATTTATAGAAAAAAGGGAAAATCATTTAAACGATTGAGAAAAACTTTAAAGTTTTAGTCAATTTATTTATCCTCTCCTTCGTACTGTCTAGTTAATATCTAAAAACAAAGGTAAAGTGTAGGGAAAGCGATAACTCTCCGCAATTCTATTTACAAATGTATGTGCATATTATTAAGTTTAATGAAAAGATTCGAGAAAGTTTCATTGAAATGCTATGTCCAAATTTTTATCATAAAGATAGCTAACGTAGCATGAATGTATTTATTACTTGTGTAATTGCTTAATCGGAACGAGTACAAGAACTCCGTTGCCAATTCCTATAAAATTCATACATATAATTGAGAGGGTGCCAATTATGCGTTTGGTAGACGCCTTTATATTAAAGAAAGGACGTGCTGATGTTCATTGCCAGTTTATTGCTTGAGCAGCGTCTTTATACTTCGCATCGTTAACCTTCAAAGGCCTCAGAGCGCTGATGAACTTTGCTCGTTAATTACGCGGTCGTTTCTGGCTAGAAATTGACTCGAAACCGCATTAGAAACCCTCTCTATTGTAAGAGACGGCTGGTGGAGTTTGGGCATTGTGCCAAACATCAGCTGATTTTGCGTTTCATTCAGAATTTTTTCTAAATCACTATTTCCCGCTCTTTAACTTGCCTAAATCAGTTTTCTTTGATTTATTGCAAAGCATCTTTGTTCTTGGGCAAATTTGGTGAAAAAAGATTGAGAATCACTATGCCGTTTTCATGCCCGGTATGCTTTCGAGGTAAATTTTTGACTCCTCCCCCTTAGGATTTCCCTCTCATTCATTGGCTATTTGTGACTGAGTCATAGGGAAAAGCCCATACAAGACAGATTACGCTAGGTGGCGCGGCTTTTTGTAAACTACGACGTTGAGAAGAGATTTTTTAAGGGAATTTACCAATTTAAGCTTTCAACTTCGATCAAAAAAATGATCAAGTAGTCGATGAAGAAGCAGGTCTCTTCAACCTTCTGGAATATTGTATAATATGCGAATAACAGCAGGCAGTACGAGGAACTTTTCGTATGGTACGTGCTAGTAGATCTTGTAGTAAGCTAGATTGTTTGAGTTTAATCGCCGTATTTTTTTTATGTAATCAAGGCCCCATAGTTCTAATATCATTAAAATAGGTTGATTTATACACAAAACAATATTTTAAACATTTAGTTCTCCTCCATATACAATCTAAATACACGATTATTCTAACTGTATACAGCATGCGCTCTAGCTACAGCTACGCAAGGTGAGAAAACATGGCGTCGTTCCAAAATTCGCACACTCAAAACTTGCAAACCAATTTTCAAGATCAGAGAAAATAATTTTGCTTTATCAACTCAGATTATAAAATAAATTTATTGATTTCGATCTCTTCAACTATTATAACTCTACACTCAATATAGAAGTACAACCAAACTGTATGCAGTATTCGTGTTATTTAATCCTACCTCAAAATGACCTACTTTTATCTACTTCAATGGGCAGACGAAAAGCGCGATTTTTCACTAACTTTAATTTAAAACAGTAAATCGCTTTTAAAAAAAAATTCAATTTATATCTAAAAACTTTAAGAGAAAAGGATATATTTTTATTTGGATTTAGGAAAGCAAGCAAAAAAGATCTTGGCCGTAGACTCGCTATCAAGCGATCGAAAAAAAAACAGAAGTTAACTCGTATTTAATTCACATCAGACAGTTTAGTAATGCGAAGCTGACTTAGTTTAATTATACCTGTATTTTCCATTCTAAAATGTTACAGGATGAATATCACCCGTTCATCGAGGCTCTGTTGCCGCATGTTCGAACTTTTGCTTACACGTGGTTCAACTTGCAAGCCTCTAAACGTAAGTACTTTAAGAAGCACGAAAAGCGTATGACGATGGACGAGGAACGTCGCGTGAAAGAAGAACTGGAATCGGAAAAGGCCGATGTTAAACAAAAATGGGCTTCAAGACTTTTAGCGAAACTTAGGAAAGATATAAATCAAGAATGCAGAGAAGATTTTGTATTGAGTATAACTGGTAAGAAGGCGCCAACGTGCGTACTCTCGAATCCTGATCAGAAGGGAAAGATGAGACGCATTGACTGCCTTCGCCAGGCTGATAAAGTTTGGAGGCTTGATCTAGTTATGGTCATATTATTCAAAGCGATACCTTTAGAATCTACTGATGGGGAACGATTAGAGAAATCTCCTCAATGTATTCATCCGACTCTTTGTGTTAATCCATATCATATCAGCGTGAGCGTTCGAGAGCTCGATCTGTATCTTGCTAACTTTATACACACATATGGTAACTTAAATAAGATTTTACTTTTCTACTCGATTCTCTATTCTAGTTTTCTTTTACTTTAGTTCCGCCTGGTTGCGGCAACTACGAACCACCGTCAGCGGATGATGCTCAAGACATGAAAGGTGAGATACTGTATGATTAATGATATTCACCTTTTGACTGATATACGAAAGTTTTTTTGAAACGTGTGCGTGTTTTTATTTAACGCTGGTTAACATTTACGTAATGGAGTGATGTAATTCTTTCAATTCAGTCTGCCTTAATGGCTTCTTTATTTGCGTTGCTGAAACAAGCTTTGTTACGTTGTATTTTTACAATTAATTCATAACTTAATTTCTAATCAGTACCTCGCAACTTGCATTCTGGTGTGTCGGGAAACAGCAGTATTGTGGCCACAGGCGTTTATTCGGCCAGAGAATTGATGAGAGTAACAAGAAGTAAGCATACCCACAATTTATATTTCCTCTATTATATTTTTTAATTCATTAGGAACGATGCAAAATGATCAAAATGGTTCGATGGAAGAGAGTGCGTATTCATCGCCTTCCGGTACATACTATCAAATGCAACATGAAGATTTACTCACTGAAAAAGCTGATGGTCGACCTCTTAAACGTCGAAAGCATGATACAATATCATCGATATCAAGTGTAGAAGAGGACGATGGTGAAGAAAATTCCCCATTTGTCTATAACCCTTCTTGGTCCTCTCATGTATCTTCCCTGGGAGAAGGTAAATTAATTTTGCGTTTTAGCTTTGCTGTAATTAGAATTTCATACTGACAATTGATTATAATATAAAAAATGAGTGCATTATGGTGATAATATGACAACAGGAGGTTTAGCAAAGGTCTCGTCTTCACGTACCGATTCACCAGCGAAGCATTCGCCTTCAGGTACACATTGGTTGTCGTAAAGGCTACTTTTGATAGTTACTTTGTCGGGCTTTCTATGTCGTCGTTAGTCTTCTGTTGAATCATGATTTTAAAAACAACAAATATTCCAGGTAACTCAGGATCAGCGGCAAACGACTCTACTTCAACATCGACCAGATATGGACAACCGGGCAGTGAAAGTTTATCAGACTTTGTTAGCCTTGTTTGTCAAGAGGCAAGCGGACAACAGGTTTGTAATATAGTAGATTGTTTTTCCCATGTTGCAAGAAATCAATTAACGCCGTAACGAGTTGATATTGTTGTTCTCGCGTCGACAGACGATCGTTAGAAGCCCAGCCAAACAACTTCCGCATCATTTCTTTCCATCTGGTATGGCTCCTCCACCTTCCCCTGCTAATATAGCACGACCGGTCGCTGTCATTCACACATCAGATGGTAATAAAGTTCCAGCCACAACAGAAACAAGGTCACTGATGTCTTCGCCCTTTCACGTTGTTCGAAACGATCAGATGTTTTCACACATTCAGTCCTCGAATCCCTATTTGGGATATTCGGGATCCAGTGTCAGTCCTACAATTAGCGGTATTATTAGTCCTACTTCCTGGAGTCAACTGATGGCTTCGTCACCTGTGACTTCCAATAAATCAACTGCTAGAAATACTCCGACTGGGCCACCGCGTCTACTTATGACGCCAGGTGTTGAAAGTGATATAGATGCCAACATTCAAATGATGAACCTAGCGCATACAACTCAAGACGATAATATTCTGCAAGAAGAAAGATTTCTGCATTTGATGCCTACCAATTCGCCCGAAGTAGAAAATGGTCATGCAACGAACGAACAAGCGGCAAAGAGGAGTTGAAGTTCTATGCAACCCACTTGCTATTTATAGAAATACAACATGAATCGGAAAAAAATGGTGCAAACTTTTTCCTTATTTTCTTTCAGTTATCAGCCGTTTGCATACAGTATATTCGAAATATTCGATAAGAATAGATTTATAATAACTGGATAGTTTTCTTCTATTTATTTCTTCGTCTTGTCAAAAAAAATTCGTAGTCGTTGCCTGTGATATGTATTATAGCGTTATAAATCTATTATTTTTTAACATTCGTATATAATATTGACTAATAAAAATATAATATGTAGCCCACTAGTTAAAGTAATACATTTATTAATACTTCATACAGTCACCCTTTGTTTGTCATGGGATCGATGATGAAAAACAAATGAAATTGAATTTTTCCAAGCACTTTTTAATAAAGTATCTGTTACGCCTTTCTTGTCCGCGCAATGGTACCACTGTGACAAATCACTATTGCAGTCACTTCCTTCAGGTGGTGGCTTTACTTGTATTTTATTAATACACCTAGTACATTTAAATTTATCGTGAGTATCACTAAGAGTATTCTCATCTAATCTGAATAGATGCTTAAGTTCTTCAACACTGAAATGTCTTGTAACATCTTCCTCTTTATCAACAACGCAAGAACTCAGGGCTTTTTTGTGCGCTTGTCTCTGAAGTATTTTCTCTTCAATCGTTCCAGTGGCAATTAGACGATATATGAAGCATTCTTTCTTCTGTCCGTCACGCCAAATTCTCGCCATAGCTTGGTCATCATTTGCTGGATTCCAATCGGGATCAAACATAACTAATCTGTTAGCACCAATTAAATTTAAGCCACATCCTCCTGCTTTACTACTTAACATGAATATAAATTCTGGATTGGCTGGATTGTTAAATTTGTCAACAATTTTAGCTCTCTTTTTTATTGACATTGTCCCATCTAGCCTAACATATAGATATTTCCTTTGCTTGCATAAACGTTCGAATAAATCCAGAGTCTGAGTATAGTTAGACACAAGAACTATCTTGTCAGAAGTTTCAGCTTTCATCATGGCTAACAAGTAGTCAAGGACAAGTAGTTTTCCCGATAAAACTGGTTGAACCAATTTTGTGTCATGATTGCCAAATAATTCCATTGTATTTTCAAAACCCTCACTGCCCTCTAAGCATTTTTCATATATTAGATCTGGGTGATTGCATAATTTCTTCAGAGTTGTAATTGCTGAGAGAGATGAAACAGAAACTTTACCCTTTTTAATCTCACATTGAGCAGCTTTGGAGGAAACGAATTTTTTATACAGTGCTGTTTGCAGTGGTGTTAATTTGCAACACACAACTTGTTCAATTTTTACCGGTAAATATCTTGTCAGTAGTGCTTGTGTTCGTCTTATAATGCATTTACTGACCAATCCAGAGAGCTCTCTCAATTTTTCGTCTCCTTTCTTTCGATCATTTTCACTTGCGTCCGCATCACGACCGCGAAGTATTGGGGTTTCGAAAGCTTTCCTAAACTGAATGGCAGAACCTAATAAACCTTTATTTACGAAATTAAGGAGTGAAAAATATTCGAGGAGATCATTCTGAATGGGCGTCCCAGAGAGTAGGACTCTTCCTTTCGCTTGCAACTGTTCCAGGGCAGAGTAAGTTTGGTTTTCACAATTTTTCAAACGATGGCCTTCATCACAAATAACTAAGCCAATTTCTGATTTATGCATAACTTCAGCATGAAGTCGAAAAGTTTCGTATGATATTATTAGTATTGGAGTCGAAGTTCTTGCCGAAGTCATGAAATTTTCTAGTTTATCATCAATTTCAGCCTTAGACCCTGAATCTATTGCAAGAGCCAAGACTTTGCTACCTAGCCATTTATTTATTTCATTATACCAATTTTTTACTAAACTACTAGGCGCTACAACCATTGCTTTAGTAATTGACGGCCGTCCTTCCGGGCCTTGCTTCAGTAGTGTCCACATTAGAGTAATACATTGAAGAGTTTTTCCAAGACCCATTTCATCGGCCATAATACAACCAAAGTAATTTTCTATTTGAATTCCAGTCACACAGTCATACATAAATTTCACCCCTTCACGTTGATGAGGTCTTAAGACTTTCGTTAGATTAGGATCGACCACAATATGTACCAACTGATCGTTTGGTTGAGTTTTCATTTGATCGTGAGCAGATATTTCCGGGGGTGAATATAAGACAAGTGCACCCTCTTCATCAGGGTCGTATAAGGCACCTCGAGCACCTAACCGTCTTAGACCCAAAACTTTATTGGTTCTGGAACTTTGATAATTTGGCAGAGATAATTTGAAAGGCCGGCTGAGAATGTTTTCAATGGAATTTTCCTAAAAACAAAAGCTACATCACTTGTTAGTACAAAAAAGTATCTTACATGATCAGTATTTTCGACATTGTCAACAGTCGATTTCAGAGGTAGCCTATAAGGAGACAAAAAGTTCCGGTTATCATCGGATGACAAATTTTCTTTCATTTTTTTTTTTGATCTCTTTCTTGGGTCCCAATCTTCATCAGTTGCATCTATCTGCTTTCTTTTATCTCCTGTAACTTTGCTAGGAGCCAAACTCCTCCTCTATAGTTTTTAGTATGAGCGATAATGAAAAGAATAAAAAAATATAAAAGAAATTACCATTTTTTTAAAAATTATGGGATTATTCGTCAAATTCAAAGAGGGATCTAAATTTTCATATTTCAATACCAAAAACAAAAGGGTGATATGGCTGAAGAAAGATTTTTAAAATAAGTAAGTTCAGGATAGAACAATATCGTTCGTTCAACAACGGCGGACCGTTCTATGAATTTTTTTTCGTATTTAATTAAACTAATATAATTTCGTTCGTTCAAAGATCCTTATGCCACATTAAATACAAAATCTGAAATAATGCTCCACTTCTCTTTCGTATACGAAAATAACCAAAACTCAAACATCAATAATGGATGATTCAATGGCGGGAACAGAAAATAAAGTAAAGAGAAAATTAAGATTTTATAGTACTGAAAATGAAAAAGTTACAGAAAATATTGCCGATTCTTCGCAGGCAACATTTAGATATCTAATTATTTTTAATGGAATAATTATTCTTTTTTCTACACTAACCTTAATAGCTGATCATTCTACAGGTAAATAATACCTTGCTTCAAAATTATAGTCTATAACAATTGCATATGACAGATATTATTGTCAGCATTGAATACGGGATTGAAGGCCATTTTATTTGGGCTTCCTTGACGTTAACTTTTTTACTCGTTCCATCTGTTTTGGTACAAATATACTCGGCAAGATGCTACTCTACAACAAATGAAAATTCAAAAACAGATTTAGTTTGCATCCTCAGTCATGTATTTCAAATACAACCTTATGAAAGATACTGGCGGTTAGGAGTAGCCTTTGCTAAAGTTAAACAAGAAGAAGATTTAAACAATTGTATCCGACGACAAAGTGATCTCAGCAAAATCCGTCTTATTTCAGCATGTATTGGATCAGGTCCCCAATTGACTCTACAATTATTCATTATTTTACAGACAAATGATTGGACAAGGGTTACAGTCTGTTCAGCGATTTTTAGCGGTGTCTCTCTTATTTGGTCAATAGGCTCTCAATGGCACTGCTTCAGACAAGAAAATAGCACTGATTACTCTTTTCTCCTCAGAAGAATAATATTTGTTATGGTTTATCAGACTGGATTTTTAACTTCAAGAATTCTTGCAATTATTTGTTTAGCTTTTATGCTTAAAGCATATGTATTCGCTGTTTTAGCTATACATGGTCTTTTTGTATTTTTTTGGATTTTGTTACAGAAAAAAGATATCTGCCCGATAAATGTTAAAGAAGTTTTTGATAAATTTGTAATAAGTTTGATTCATATGTTTATATTTTTCAACACGAAAGAAGGCTCAACTAGATTAAGAATGGTTGTATATTATGCTATAACGGGAGCTGAAAATTTTTTATTTGCCATCATCTGGTTCTTATACGATTCTCCAACACCATTGAATATCGCTCTTCTCTCTTTAACATTATCAACATTCTGTATTGGTAAGCATTTATGATTTGGCATGGAAACATCTTAAGAGTCACTATCATTTTTACAGGTGTTCTGCTTTTGCTATTATTTTATCGATTTTGTCATCCTGGAGGACCTATTCGTTGCTCGTACTCTTCCAGAAAAACTCTTACTATTCCACCCACTCCCGCAACGCCTATGCCGAACTCTTTTCAGCATTACAGTATTGACACATCGGCTTGTCTAGATTACGCTGAACCCGAAACAAAGTTTAACTTAACTGAAATGATAATGAATGGAACAACAAGTTGTGAATCAAATAGTTTCATTTTTGGAAACGGCTGGAACGAACAGGAGTGTGGCCGAATGATATCTTTGACTCCTAAAGAAACTTCAGGCGATCGGCTGGAAGATAGCTACTTAGGTCAACGTAAAGTTGAACATCAATAATCTAGTTTATTAAACTAGTGTCATATTGTTTGAAGCACGAAATTTTATTCATTTTGAAAACCTATCATTTTTATTACGACCAAGAAATCTTCTGCTTTTCCAACAACTGTAGCGAATAGATTCAAACTTTCATGTCAAAAAATTATTGTGACAAAGAGCAATTTACCTTTGTAATAATACCGGCCCCGATGGTTTCTCCTTGGGATCGAAGAGTAAATCGACCAAGCTCAGATACTTCTTTAAATTCTTCCATTGGGGCACTACGGCTTATTTCAATTAAAACATCAGCTGTTTGTTGAGCAACTAGAATTCTTGGCTTCTTCTTGATAGTTTCACCAGAAGACTGATTGACAATTTTATACAGCTTCTTAATGATGGCGGGTTCACACATTTCTTGAATATGTAACTCAACCTTTAAAAATTAGTACGTTTTTAGTTTTGAAATAATATTTATAAAAATTTCTTACTGTAAAACCATTTGTAATGGGAACTTTTGTTGCAAATACAACTATTCTTCCTTCAAAACAATTAGTACACTTCATAGGCCTCTCTGGAGACGAAAATGCATTTCCTTTATAAACTGCATTCAATTCTATTCCAGACAAGGCTAAAATAACTAAATCGCCAGCAAATGCACAGGGTACGGCTTTATCGTTCAGTTGAATCTCCTTAACTACAGCAACGTCGTTGTTGGGTAAAAGTAATAATCGATTGTGGAGCTGAACACCTCCTGTGAAAATTCTTCCTTCTATCATAACGTTACTTCCAGAACCTTTAAAAGCATCTGATACAGTCATTCTGAATGGTGCATCTATCTTTCGCTGGGGCGACGCAAAGCTATCAATTTGTTCAAGTAACGTTGGACCCTTATACCAAGACGCACATTCATCATTGTATCTTTCTGCTAAGTTATACCCATGATAACCAGAGACTGGTATAAAGCTTAAAGATTTTTCTTTTATGCCTGCTTTTGTGAAAAATGATTTCATTGTCTGCTGAATGTAGTTGAATCTCTCCTCGTTCCAATTTACCATATCCATTTTGTTTATGGCAACGATAATTTGTTGCACACCTATGGAACGTAAAAGCATACCATGCTCTCGAGTTTGTCCACTTCTTTCATAGCCGGCCTCAAATTCTCCAGGAGAAGCATCGACGGCCATAATGGCAGAGTCTGCTTGAGCAGTACCACTGATCATTTTGGGAATAAAATCTTTATGGCCAGGGGCATCTAAGATATTTACTATTTTATGATCTGTTTCAAAGGAAGCTCGAGCAATATCCATTGTTACACCTCTTTCTCTTTCATCTTCCAGCTCGTCTAATACGAAAGCGAGCCAAAAACTTTGCCGATTGGCCTTTGTCGCCTCCTGTTTTATTTTATGTAGCTGTTTGCTACTTATTTGGCCCAGCTTTACAAGTAAATGTCCCATTAGCGTTGATTTTCCTGCGTCAACATGGCCACAAACGATAATATTGAGGGCCTCTTTCCCTTTCGAGCACAATTTTCGTTTTTCATATTCAGCTTGTAAATCAAGTTTCTCTTTTTCTTGAGATTTACTATACATTTTATAGAAGCAAAGACTTAACCGTATAAACTAGTTATTAAATTAACAAATTACCGAGAAATTAATTTATTTGGTGTGCTCAAATGAGTCTTTTTCGGGAGAGGATTGGGAGAAGCTGACTCTCCAGAGGCTAAAGACATTTGTGATAATTTTTTTCTATTTTCGTCAGTAGATGAGACTGTTGCAACATTTCCTTTATCGTTTGGGCCTCTCTGTTTCTTTCCAGGGGGACGATTGCTATTCGGTTTATTTTCCTTTTTTTTCTCTGTATTTGTCCGGTAAGCTGAAACATTGTTTTTATTTCGAAAAGCTGCCTTTTGATGTCGATGAACTATATCATCCGGAGAGGGGTCAAGAAAATCAAAAGGCTGAATGCTATTGTGTAAAGGATGTGTATATAGGCGACTTTTATGATGACTGAATTTCGGAGCACCAAAAGCTTTTTCATGTGTTAATGCTACAGCAAAACTAGATGGTTCAGGGCAGCTCTGGGAAGTAATTTTATCTAAAGGATTAAGGACTGGACTCTTATCTATTTTTTTAAAAAATAATGACTGAGATTGTTCTCGAGTATCAACAGAGAGAGATTGTTTTGATTCATTAATAGTACTTTCTGATTGGGACATTTGATTTTGTTTACAAGCTAGATTGGCAAGGGTTTTTCTTTTCACTTGTTGATTTTGTTGGACGGCTAAAGACGATAAAGAAAACTTTGCACGTTCTTACCTTACAAACGCCATTTAAGCATCGGATATGAAAGGGGCCAGACGTTAGTATATAAATATGATTATAATTTATAAAATTCACCTGGTTTTTTTTCAGCATGGACGGCACTTTGAGGTTCCAGTGCATTAGCCTTTTTGGAGAATAGTGAATTTAAAGCAGCGTTTGAATCGAAATTGTGTTCTATAGCAAGACTTATTAATTCTTCTCGGCTTTTGGAATTTTTTACCACAGCTTTCATATCTTCTAAACAAACGAACAGCGAATCTAGTTTTATAACAAATATGAAAATTAACTGATTGGCATGATAAGTCAAATTCGAACTTCTTACGTCGTTCAGCTGCAGTGAGATTAGATGGTATTGACCCTTCATTCATATCGGCCTCAAAAACACCCATTTCGTCTTCTTCGTTGTTTTCTTCTATTGATTCTTTCAGAAAAGTTCCAAAATTATGATTGGTTGAGCGACTTGGAGGGTATGTATATTTTTCCATCGTTCCAGGTGATACACAAGAATCTTCAAAAGAAACTCCATAATCGTTATCCTCATCGAAACTACCAATACATTCTACAGATAACAAAACCAAAAACTTAAACGTGTTAAGATATTAAATTTTATTCAATTATCGCTCAATAAAAAAGTAAACATTTAAAATATCTCACCGTCAGATAATCGCATGTTTCGAACATTTCTATGCCGAGACATACTGTAAAACACAGATGAAGCCTTAAGCTTTCTCTTGATATTTATAAATATATTCAGAAATGAAACTGACAGTTAACTACACGACGTACAGTCTTATTCAGAAATGTTATTTTTGCGGAGTAAACTGGTAGTAATTTTTTTTTATAAAGTAAAATCAATGAAACTATGCTGAAATAAACAACGCAATATGTGCAACATCAGATATGCAATGAATAATGTATTTATCAATGCCATATTAAAATAGTACATACAGATATAAAAATACACGATCAAACAAACTGTTTAAATAGGATGTTATTTATGCCTTACAATATACCTTTCGAGACAGGTTTTAAGAAATGTACATCAAATTAACATTATTAAATCTATTAGTCAAACGAAAGGATGTTAAAAAAGATTTGACAGTTTGCAATGTAACGTGTGACAATAGGCCAACGGCGCGGTGTGGTTACGCCATCTTTTACTCAATTGTATACGCGAGAAAAATATAGTCTTCTGAAGAAGAGGGAATTATAGAACAGCCAGGCGCCACAGGCCCGAATCCCAAGAACATAAAAATACGGACGAGCAGAGCTCGATCTTTTCGATTCTTCTTCAAACTGACGATCACGTGGCTCACTCCCAGTTCGTCTTCGGCGTACTAGATTGAAAATCAATTGTTAAGGATATCTGATTTGTTGTAAAATTTAGCTGTATAGTGTCATATTACCTCTAACATCTTAACAAAGCTCTCCTTTGAACCATCTGGTAAAACTCCTGGCGAAACGTGCACGAATAATTTTCCTTCAAACATGACAGCCTGCCATTCAACATTTCGACCATCCACTAGCTGAACATTGAATAGGATATTTGATGGTGGAAGAAATTGCGGAGTGCTTAGAAGACCCTCGCGTACAGGGGGCGCTCTCTCAACCCCCACACCGTTGCCCTCTGTCGTTTTGCATGCGGCGTGGGGAGCATCAGGAACACCACAGAGGCCCTGAACCGAGATGTATGACTTGGTAGTGTTGGGCCATACTGTTTGAGAAATTTCAATAATTTAAGGATCATTTAATTTAATTCAGTTCTTGACTTACTTCGTGTCCATTTTACTGCTGACGTCACATATCGACGGCATATTGTTTTCTTTCGCTTTTTCTTTCGGGCCGAAATTTTCCGTATTTGTTATTGCCTTTATGGCTTTTATCATACCTAATAACAAATAAACAAGTCATTGAAGACGATATCATATAAATATGAAAAATCAGTAACTTACCAACAATAAAAATTAGCGATCAGTTTGAGAACTAGAGAATATTCTAGGTCGACGGGCTGACGTCACGAAATCTGTAATCACATGACACCTTGAAACGTATTTCTTATTTTCGTATATTTTAGAAAATTCTTTTAGACATGTTTTGAAATAATTTTTTATGACAAAATATTGAAAGAAAAAAATTCAAATTTAATTTTAGAATTCCGAATATAAGATAATCAAAATGGCTGAGCATCCAAGAGCAGAAACATTTGTTTTGTGACATGGAGGAATCATGAAAAAGAAATTATTTATTTATTACAAATTTGAACGTTACAATAATGGACAAAGAAAATGATACTGAACGTCCTATTAATGTACATTTGTCAAGTACAGAAGATGAGCAATTATTACACACATCAGGAGATATTGGAAACTATTTTCAGGATGAAGGGGGATCTCTAAATTTTTTTACAAGAGTTGATTCAGCCGAAATAATATACCATGAAAGGCCGAAAAAAGCGAAAATAATTGGAAATTACCTAATAGGCCATGTTCTCGGTGAGGGATCTTATGGCAAAGTCAAGGAGTGCTTGGACACGGAATCTCTTTCAAGAAGAGCTGTGAAAATACTTAAGCAAAGACAGTTGAAGAGAATCCCGAATGGGGTTTCAAATGTAAAAAGGTTTTTATGATAAGCTTGACAAGTCATTTTGTTCAATGTTTTTATTCAACAGAGAAATAATTTTATTGAAAAAGTTACACAACAAACATGTTATCAAATTATTCGACGTATTTGTCAGTGAAGAGAAACAAAAGATTTATTTGTTTATGGAATATTGCGTTGGAAGCCTTCAGTCGATGCTTGACAACGTTGAATCCAAATGCTTTCCGCTATGGCAAGCTCATTTGTAAGTTACTAATCGAGTTTCTATTACTAGCATAATTTACACGTCAAACGACAGATATTTTGTTCAGCTGATTGATGGGGTAGATTATCTTCATAGTAGAGGGATTGTTCATAAGGATATAAAGCCACCCAATTTATTATTGAGCCTCGATGAAACTTTAAAAATAACAGATCTCGGCGTTGCTGAGGTATTTGAATTTACTAACCAATTTATCATATTAATAAATTTAATTTTCTGCTTTCAAGGAATTGGATATGTATTCAAAGGTTGATTGCTGTTCTCTTTCCCAAGGATCTCCTGCATTCCAAGCGCCTGAAATAGCTGACGGTGCTGAATATTTTTCGGCTTTCAAGGCTGACGTGTGGTCTTGTGGTGTCACTCTGTAAGTCTGTCTTTAATATAGTATCACTTTTTTTTGTTTCATTCCAATGCATCATAGGTTCAATATTACAACCGGTAAATTACCTTTTATGGCGGACAATATTTACAAATTATTTGAATGCATTGTTAAGTGCGAATATACCATTCCTGAATTGGACAGTCCTCATTGTACCGACTGTATTAAAGGTATGTTAAAGAAAGATTCGACAGAGAGATTTTCCATTAAAGACATTAAAAGTCACGAGTAAGTTGTTATTTTAAATTTCATATGCCAAGATTTCATTCATCGAATTTTCTAGATGGTACAGACGAAAATTAGGACGAAGCAAAGAGTATGTACCACCACCACCATATAATAAGGATGATATGTTGAGGCGTATGAGCGTAATTCCAAACTTGGAGATACTTTATATGGAAGAATCAGCTGAGTCTGAAACTGAAGTTGAATTACAACATGTGGAGGATTATAGTAGGTAGTAGAACAACTTTTGTTACCATTAATTTATATTCTCTTACTTGTAGAAAAAGCATCTCGTCAACACTCAAATGATAATAAAAAGAAAGGTTCCAGTGTTAAAAATTTCTCTGGTAGTTTCTGCAAATTATCATAACCAGTAAGGCGCTTCAAACACAAAACAGTGGAAATATTGTTGGCGAATGTAGGACTAAACTGACTTTGATGTTTGATTTCATTTATTGAAAACTTATCAGTTCCTGCAGCAAATTTATCTATCGGTGCTATATTTTTTTACGAAAAAGAAACCGAATGTAAACGACAATTGCAATGTCTCACCGCCTATGATTAAAACTCCAGGTTTTTGTTGATCACTTGTAGAAAGTGTTTGTGATTCGAATATGGAGAGAGGAATATTTGAAAAAAAATTAATAAAGCAGGTGGTGAAAATATTAAACTGCAACATTTTAGTACATTGTATTTCGATTGAGTTTGTATTATTTTATGTTGTTTAGAATTTATTCGTAGGATAAGTTTTGAACTAAATAAAGCTTTTTAAAAATTGCTTTTAAGTGTTGAAATGTGTTATTCAAATAAGAGCTTCTCCTTTATTTAAAAGGATATAAACATAGTTTATAGCCTTTAAGTTTATGAATTTGACAACGTAAATTATAATATTTGCCAATTCCATTGTGATTGTTGTCCGCTTCCTAATTTACTAGCAGTAATGTGTAAGGCGTATATCATATATGCATTACAATCTATATAATGTATACATTGCCCGTACAAGTCCGCCTGGATTTGCACAAAATGAAAGCTCATTAAAAACGAATACGATATTTTTCCAAGCTAATAATCGTAAGAAAAACTGAGGGTCTGTAATTCAAATAGACCTTGCCACATACGATCTTTCGAAGTCTATTGATTTTTTTTAGCTCAACTGATCTCAAACAATGCACATATAAGCGTATGACCGCCGGCGTATAGATTGTTTTACGACTTAAGTATTTTATGTTGCATTCTGCTGGGTAGAATAGCATGCTAGGCGTTGCCGCAATGGAACATGTAGAAACCAACAAACGGACAGGCGGTTGTTAGTTTATAATACGTATGATTATGAGGAATTAGCGAAGGAGTCAATGATAGATTATATAATGCAATAAACATTTACAGTTCTTACTCGGTAGAAAACTAGTTCCAATAATTTATCTTCGAGGTATTAACACTCGACTATTAACAGCACATACGCTCTTACCCCAAGGCCTACTTAAACGACAGTAACGCCGACGCTTTTATTGATGCTGTGACAGCACACAAAAGTATCGATTCCTTATCGATTGGTGGATCACTACAGATCATCTTTTTAAAGTTTATCCTTTTTTTATAGTTTAAGCTATTTTAAAGTTACTTTAAAATCTCTTTATTCTCTCCGCTGATTATGTAGACGTTGTGCTTCTTATCAATCAACGCCCTTGTCCGTATATGGTAATTGTAGACAATATATAATTAGAGAAAGCCTGGTGCTATTGGCGCCACAAAAGCTATAGAGACGCCTTTAAAAACATTTATATCGATTTTGAGCAAGCGTCTATATACAGTAGATTTGTATGTGTTATTTATGTATAAATATATGTATATAAAAAAAATAAATACATGTATATATACATGGATTCAATATTCATATCCATGCAGTTAGATGTTTATTATATACATTACTACCAATTTTAATGGCAAATGCAAAAATTTTGTATCTATAATATAATAAACCTAACGTATAACGAAAAGAGTAAATTTAGAAATCTTCTAGACGAAATTTTGCACGTAATTTTTTCTTCATGTTTTTTTTGTCATAATAAATGTGCAAATTAGACGATTTCTCATATTGTACCGATTGGTAAAGTGCATTTGGTGCTAATTTTATTCGATGGAAAATGAATGAAAATAATTTAAAAACTAAAAGTACACGAAGCTAAACTTAAGTGGGATGTGCAAAGATTTGAATATTTTATGTCTCCCAAGGTGCAATTTCTTAAGCTCATCCATTTTACACACGCAACGCGCACCGACCATCGATTGAAGCTTAATTAATCTGGCGTCATTAGGCGATTTCATAATAGGGCGTACGACCGTCAGGTGGAGTTTGAGTTCTGGCCAATCATCGACTCTGAATCGAAACTACAGAAAGAGCTGTAGAGCCAAGCGGAGAACATGCAGATCCGGATCGTATGATGGAATTTAGCGAACAAGAATGGAATTGGACAATACAACAACAGCCAGTACACCTGATGAAGAGGTTTGTATAAAACACTCATTATTCCTTGTTCTGGCAAGATAGAAATCATGATTTTCTTTAATACTGAAAACGTTTTGAATGACAGCTATTATTTACATTTATTAGCATCGTTCGTTTACACTTCGATAAGAGATAAAATCGTTCAGTTTAGTCTTTTACATTGGTTTGCCTTTCTTATCTTTTAGAAGGCAATAAAGTCTTTGAGGTTTCAAGCACATCATCCTCGATAAATTTACAATTTGTAATTTTTATAAAATAACTTTAGTGAGCGCTCACGACAAAAAATAAATACAACATGTTGTAATACACGTTTACCACAATATATACAGGTATATGTACATGTGTATACTTATAGATTTATTTTCACTCTCTCTCTCTCTCTCTCTCTCTTCCTCTATTTTTTTCTGTTCTCTCTTCCCTTCTCTTTTACATGTACTATGTCTGTACATGTACACTATATCTATACATTCTAAATATAAATATAAATAATATATATATATATATATATATATAGATATACATATACATATAAATAGATGAATACATATACATGTATACATATACATATATATTTATATATACTAATATACCAATATATATATATATATATACAGATGAATTTATGTTGGATATCTGACATACACACAGTACATATTTATTTATTTATATATAATATGTAATTATATTCCGCGTGGAAATTGTCAGTTTAGAAAAAGTTTGCGTAAATGTCGAACTGTCATCTCCCGACGCTTATTCGTAAAGGTCACTCCTGTAGGGCAAAGACGCTTCAGGCTCGCTTCTTACGCACATAGTTAGGTACACTTTGAATTTCGTATAACTAGAGTTCTTTTGGTAAGATCGGGAAAATGACACAAGTTCAGGCCTATCCCAGTAAAAATCACTCCATTACCTGATTGAGTTGAATATGGTTCGAGTGGTAAAACGAGCGTTATCTCTCTTACAGTTTCTGTTAGCAGATGGTGAACAGGCAACCTACGACGTGTTCGTTATATTTAAGTCCATTAAAGACTGCCGTCTTAAATGGAAAAATTCTGTCTCAATGAATCTTTCTCATCCTTAAATATGTTATTGCCGATAATTTTTAAGGCTTTTGGCTATAACATGTTTTACTGTCATTAATATCCTGCGTTTGTTTGATTTCAGGTTAGAACTCTTTTTGTGAGCGGATTGCCGATGGATGCAAAACCTAGGGAATTGTATCTTTTGTTCAGAAGCTATCAGGTACGTGGAAATTTTTCGAATTATTTTAGGTATTGTAAAACTACGTGATGTTAGGGGTACGAAAGCTCTTTATTAAAAACTATAACGCAAGTTCCGACTGCCAGACACCACTGTGTAAGTTTTTTAAGCTAGAAGATTATAAAATTGAACAAAAAATTCACTGCGCATGCGCCGCACTATGTTCATGCATGCTTTGTCTTTCTATTAATCGATAAACAATGCTGTTCTTTGCTGACAAACTATGTAATTGTGGTCTCTTAGGAGATGTAGTTAAAAAAATCTTAGTTATAGCTTCTAATACTGAGTGCAGTGTATTACGTCACTCTAATCACATATTACAGGGCTACGAGGGATCGCTGCTCAAAGTAACAGGGAAGAATGGAAAAAATACATCTGTAAGTATATGAAAATTCAATGTTTTCGCTTTTTTCCCTCACACTGTAAGACATAATTTAACCATAATTATTTTGATTGATTATGATTAATGCTGTTGGTATTTTCTTCCATATTTTAATCGACGACTTGGTTCAACAAAACATTAGCTTCCGGTAATTGTTAAAATATGTAAAAACACACTATATAAACGAAAATATCCATTATATATTCACTATCTTTCCTTTTCATTCACTCTATGAACTTTATACCATTATACTAAACCAAAGCTTTAATAACAGAGTTCTAAAATAGAAATTATATAATATAATGACAAAAATTATATACAGCCGGTTGGTTTTGTAACTTTTACATCTCGCATACTCGCTGAAGCGGCTAAAGAAGATCTTCAAGGGGTTAGATTTGATCCAGATTTACCACAAACCTTGCGGTTGGAATTCGCCAAGAGCAATACGAAAGTAGCGAAGCCTAAACAGCAGTCTCCTTTACCAGCAGCGACACACCCCACCGCTCTCCTTCATCCCTTAACTGGACGTAAGTTACAGGATATAATCGGTTGCTTAACTAGAGGAGTTTTACGTTAACGATAATTTTGCAGAGGAATTGGCGGCCGCCGGCTTCTTTCCTGGTCTAGATGCAGCTTCCTGGACAGCAGCAACTCATGTTCCCTTCACGGCCTACGGATCGCCAGATCTAACTCCGACCGGCGCCGCTTTCACCCATCATAATTTATTTCAGCATCCAGCTCTTGGTAAGATATTTATTGATTTTTAATGTGTGTTGTTAATATTTATCTTAAAAAAAATTGATTGTTACATTCAGCTCAAGCTCTCCCTTTTCCGTGGATTCAGGCACCAAAAAATGCTTAAATAAACAGTGTAAAATATAAATCCTATTTACAATCATATACTGTTTATATACTACCTCTGTGAAACATTCCTCGTCTAGTCGATGATGACCGACTCTTCTACTTCAATGAGGTTGTTGAATCCACTTGCCGATTTTAAGACCGACCAGCAGAATCGTTGTGATAAGCTGCGAGCAGCTATATTTAGTAAAATTCATTTTAAAAAATTCTCTTATATACTATGTTTGTGTGTGCGTGCTTTATTGAATGAAGCGAACGAATAATTTGTTTGTCGTATTAGTTAGTATATAAAATATCCATGCAGAAATGCGAGAAGCGGTTGCCACGCGCGTAACCTCGACGAATCAATTTGTGCGGTTTGTACTTCTCCGTATGAAGGAAAAAGCTCGTGGCAATCCGTCGCTTTTGCAATCAATGCCATATTGTTTCAATTCTATCAGCTCTTACTGTTGTTTAAGTCGTATTTTTACATTCGTCTCTATGGCGTCATGTATGTTTACTTAAAAAAAAAAATTCATTTTGGTTTTTTTTCGAATACGAAAACACTTTCAGGTGTACGACGTAAAAGTCAATAAACGGTTAATTACACCGACTGAGGGAATTATTAACGCTCTCGGAAATTGATTGCGTGCCTCTACTAGGCCTATTTAAAGCGTGCAAACCTCTATTAAACACGTTTGAAACGCCGTTTATTAACTGTTAATGTTCTGAACTCGAGTAGACCTTTCTCTTCTTGCATTTCTTATTTCTTCCATTATAACACTTTTAATGTTTCGAATGTTTCTCTTCGTCAGACATTAATTAATTAATTATTTTAAATAAGAAGACATTGTTTTGCTGTAAAATAATTTTTAATGGGAACAAGACATCTGGATGTAGCCGAACAGGAAACTAAAATCGAAGCAGTACTTAAAAAAATTACTCAGGGAGGTAATGTTTTCCGTCGTTTGTTTCCTTTTGACATAATACTAGATGTCGTTGTTCGAAAACCAGTAGGTGGCCTATGGATTCATTTATAGATATAAATAAATAAATAAAACATTTCTATGTTATTTAATCTATTAAACAATTAATTGATATGATGGAATACTGATTTTCATCAATTAACACAATGGGAATATTTAACAAGAGTAATTTAACTTGACAATTTACAAATTATTAGTTTTCCATAATAAAAAAAAAGAACCAATGACCTAAATTTTCAGCGTCTCATAATGAATATATTTATAAATTTATATACCATTATGCTCAAAAAATAATTAGCTTATAAATATATGACGCTCTATTCATTGGAGAGAAAAAACTAAGATACTTAAAAATCTATTTTTTATTTCATAAATTATTTTTGAATAGTATTGATCGATTGAGTTTTTGAATAATTAAACTTATTTACCCTTTTGTATACTCATCTAGTTTCTTCTCTCTCTCTTCTTCTTCTTCTTCTTCTTCTTCTTCTTCTTCTTCTTCATCGCATTAATTCACAATATACAGTTATATACGGTATATACAGTATAATAGTAATAGTTTATACAATATATATATACAATACATATATAAAATGATTAACTAAGAAGAAACTACTATTTACAATTTCTTTCAATAAATCCACTAGGTAAAATAAACTGTATATATAAAAAAAATACTATAGAATAAGAAATTATATTAATCTAGTGATTATTTGTTGTTGATAATGGGAAATATATTGAATAAAATCTAATTCATTTAGATATTAAGATAATAACTTTCATGTTTAATGCTGATAATAGCATTTCAAAGATATAAAATCTCTCAAGGTAACTCGTAACTCTCGCTCACTAGATATCTACGCTACATTCATATAAGATGTTTATATATGCTGTATAATTGTAATCATATCCTTGATCTAATTTTCTCTGTTATGTAATATCGGATGATTATATTTTAATATCGTACTCTATTACTCTATTTTGGATAACAGAGATTTTCTCCTTAAAACCTTTATTGTTTTCATTCCTTCAATGACTTAATCCGACAATGGTATTTTTATAAAACATGAAATAACTGTTAAATAATCGTTTAAATGATCAATAAGCACTTAAAAGCAGCGTTACCAAAGTTTTAAACTGAACCCAGTTAACGTTAATTATGTGTTTGTTAAAGGTTTACACGGAATTACTTTACAGGTGTTTCTTTGTTTTTATCTTTCTTCTATTTTGTATACAAGAACATAAATATATATTTATAAATACAATATTCAATTTATGCAAAAAGAAACAGCTTTTTAAAACGTTCAGTTCATCTCTGCCAAGCCTGTTGTCATTTCAGTTATCTGATCGCCACCGAATGCCTGATAATATAAAAAAGAGTTCATAATTGACCATATTGAAAATATCCTAGTATTTTTTATATAGATAGAAAAATCAAGAGAATAAGGAGTCAAAATTAGTAGTAGATCGGAGAATTAGTTGTGGTTATTATTGTTTAGAAACCTCTTTTCTAAGTCTGGCCCTTTGGAGAACCTGAGTTCTTTTTCGGCGTTCAATCGCTTTGTTTCCCATAGTTTGTTTCAATGCTGGTAGACAAACACTGGAATCTTTTTGTTGAGCGTAAGACATTTCCGGACTGAATTTACAAAGTAAACATGTCTAATTGAGTATATTTTATATTGATTTACTTACATTCTCCTAGAATGGATTTTGGGTAAGTGAGATTCCCTCTCCTTCGCTTCATCCTCTACAACGTAGGCTTTGGCTAATAGGAAAGCATCAGGAGTCCATTTATGTGAGTACAAAACATCTTTTAAATCGGTTTTTAGCCTATTTAATTCATGAGCCTGTTGTTCATTAGTTATTTGTAAAGTTCTTATGATTTTTTCACATTCTTCTACTGTTGGCTGACGCGGAAAACCGGTTGAGGGATCATGTATTTCAAGAGGATTTAAGGAAGCTCCCAAAGGTAGGTCATATCCCACTTCTCGTTCACTCACCTCTGATATCATTTTTTGCTCTTGCTCTTCTTTCCTGTTTTGAAAAGCATATATATTTATTTATATAGGATTAATTTAACTCTTTGTTAAAGAATTTAGAAAACTAAGCATACAATTCTGCATATTCTCTAGATATATCGTCAAATTGCTGTTTAAGATCTATATTTTTACTCTTCTCTTCTTTTAACTGTTTCCTGACTTCCCGTATCTCCTGTTCAAGAAAGATTAACTTTAGTTCGTCAACTTGACCAGGAGGTGGAAGAGGTGGAGGCTTGGGTTGCAATTTTGATGTTTCACTTTCAGGCTCTATAGTTGCCGGTTTATATTGCCGTGTACGATTGACAGGAGATGTTATTGGCGATGTACTTTTCTCTTTTTGCATAATGACTATTCGAAACTGTAATTCTTTGTTACTCCTCTTCAACTCATCTATTTCTTCGTGTAAATTTGTTAGCACATTACGGTGTTGCTCCTGAAGAAACCGAATAGAACGTTCGAGATGCTGAATTCTCTGCTGAGGATTTACATTATCATCTAGAGGCTTATCCTCTGAATCGTCATCTTCACTTGATCGCCGAACAATAGAGATAGGTTGAAGAATCTTTTGATCTTTCATGAAAGTTCTCGGGTATCTTGCTCTGTCAAGTGTATTAATCCTTGACCATTGTGGCAAATTATTTAGATGTGGAATAGCGCTACTACCCATTTTTTCAAACGGGTCTTTTAATCACCTTTTACTAGTATAGCTATGCGATGTTGCTATGGTAAACATGGCGGGAAACGACTCTGCTGCCATCTAGTTGTCATAACCAGAAAAATTCCAAGAGTCTCTTGTTTTCGTTGTTTATCCTTAGCAATTCCATGAATAGAACAATTAAAACGAAAGTTTTCAATACACTAATATCTTAAAAAAACTTATATAGTTCCACTAAGTAAATACATAAACTCTGATTTCAATCATTTATATTGTCTCATTCTTTGTAAAGGATCCAATTAATTAAATAATTACAATCATCAATATCTAATTATTCATAATAAGGTTTCACTTGGTAAATAAAATGGATAATGGAGAACGTTGCATCTGCAGTATCACTTATCCATAAATTTCAAGGGGTATTATGCACTAAGTATAAAAGCAATAGCAATTTAATGTAAATAATTGTATAAAAGTATGAGCTACCGTGTTATTTGCAATATTCCTTACGTAACGTGAAAAAAAGAAAAGAATTCCGTTACAGCTTCGACGGATCTTCTTAATAGATTGATAGACCTCAATATCGTTTTCTTGTCGAACATTGAACTCTTTTCACAGAAATGTATCTAATTTGAAATTCGATTGACCTAATTTTCTTATAACGTAAACTACTTAAAAGATACTTTTCCATTATGGAATATACTAGTCTAACTTCCTCTATCAGAGACTTTTCATAGATCAAAATAGAAAAGATTATATAACTCAATAAAATACTATTTGCATAAAAATTTACAAAAAGGATATAATAAATTACAATAGTTGTTAGCTTGTTGCCGAGTGGTTGTAATAAGTAATTGGAAATAGATATTGTGTTGCGTATATAATGAAAATAAATTAGTTTAATTAAAATATAAGAATTACGTCACCGAGTTAATTGTGTTTTTTTATAAAAAAAATATGAGATTTATATTTCAAAAAGTTGGTGATGTCGGCTCGCGTTCATGCTCACCTCTCATCATATGACTATAAAAATCGAATTTACTAGAGCACAACAGTCCGCAAACATTACACATATAAGGGTTCGAATGACTGTGACATCCCATATGTAATGAGTGCATAACGGCATCCTCGAAAGTTATACCGCAGTATTGGCATTTCAATGTTGAAGAATTGCCGCATTGAGTAGCAACAGTTTTACCGATATCTTCCTCATCGTTAACCTCTTCTCCGTCGTTTTCCGACATCCTTCGTTTTTTACCCCTTTTTACCGTTTCTCCACTTTCACGAGCATATTTCTGTGTCCATGCTGATTTTGGTCTATGAGGCCTTTGTTTGTCTTCGTTCGATTCGAGGAGATCTTTTAAAATACTCTTTGACCCGGATGTCGTAGCCGAATTTCCCTGTTCGGAATTGGGTGTAGAATTTTTCATGAACAAATGGTACCAATCGACTTGTTGTTTTTCTATTGGCCAGTAAAAAAAAGGAGATAGATAATTAATACTTGTGATACATATATATGTGAACTAGTTCAAAAATACGTTACACTTACGTTCGTGGAATTGCAAATGACAAGCCATATTCTGTCGCATAATATATTGTCCGCATTTATTACAATTGAGGAGGTCATTTGGAGAATTTAGAGTTTTCTCTTCCTCCTTATTCTCCTCTGGTAATTTCCTTTCAAGCAAGACCTGTAATATAGCTGAACTTTTTAGCGAATGATTGGCCGGAATTTGCATTGGTGTGGATGTCGTATTCGGCAGTGTCTGTGTCAAAACAAAACAATTACCATTGTCCTATCCATATCCTTTTCTTATACCATTGCCCTCTGTTACGCAATATAGAATATATAAAAAATATACTGTATATACGGTACACTTACGTACGTAAATTTAGACATCTATACACACACATAGACGATTCGTCGATAAGATAAGAAACCTCTTAAATGGGTCGCAATGTACTTTTACACAGAATGAGGACAAAAAAATCATTAAAATAGAGATTTCAACTATATGCTGATTATATATTTTATCCTCCATAAAGGACATTAATGCGAGCGTATGACACATCGGTTAAGCGATATCTCTTATTTTTTCTTTTCTTTTTTTTTATAGAGCTATCTGCTCTCCTTCGTGTTGAAATTCTATTTAATTATTATATAATTGGATTGAATAACATTTATCTTGAGTAAGAATTAATGATTTTTGTTAAATATAAATATTATAAATAATTAAAAATAAACTTTAAGAATTCATACCTGCTTCGCTGCCCAATTACCATTTTGTTCCAGTTTTAGTTCACCTCGAACCTGTCTGGACTTTTGCAATGTTTTGCAGCCCGATTTATAAGCAAAATTGAACGCTCTCATTCGAAAATAGATGATTTTTACTCTCCTCTCCCTCAAACAGTTTAAACGAAATGAACTTCAGAGAACTTTGCACGGTTTACAATCTCCGTCTGCTAAATGTGTTCAAAGTTCGTTTGATTCCGGTGGTACGAGCCAACAATATCCAATCAGCTGTTAGGACTGAAGGTCATCTTTTGACTGGCTTTGTTTTGCTATAAACAAATGGATGGACTTTAGTATTTACTGTATATAAAGTTTAGATGGGGAGACCCCTAGGTTGAAACTAGATTTATCTTCAGAAATCCAATAGAGGGAGATGTTGAATATGATTTTAAGTTTATCTTGTAGACTATAAATGCTATTAATAGATTTTTTATATACTACAATGGTTAATTAGAAACACTTTTAGAAACTATAAATATATGTGTATTGAGACGAAAAAAGCAGCAAAAAAGAATTTACGACCTGGAATTCATTATAGGCATAAAATTAAGAAGTTGACTGTTCCACGCGGACAAAGAAGGAAGACAGAAAGAGGGAAAAGACGGATATGATTGATTTCTTCCACACTGAGCCAAATTGTCTATGTCAACGACCTTCGGTGGCGGATTAGGTATTGAGTCAAAAATATTCTTTCTTCGCGAACTTTCAATTGGTGAACGGTTCGATAAAAGGCTGTCAATCGTGAACAACTTCGACTTGCGAACTGTTTCTTCATCAGTTTCATCTTCCTCGTCACTACAAGACTCGTTGTCCAACTTTTGAATTTCGACCCCATTCTTTTTAGCATTTTGCTGCTGACCTTTTGGTCTTCTTTTTCTTCTCCGATAATTTCCGTTTTCAAACATCTCCTCACATTTAGCATCTAAAGTCCAGTAATTTCCTTTTCCGGGAGCGTTTTTATCTCTAGCGACTTTAACGAAGCAATCGTTTAAAGACAAATTATGTCGAATCGAGTTCTGCCAGCCTTGTTTGTTGTCATGATAGTAAGGAAATCTTTCCATAATAAATTGATAAATTCCGGAAAGGGTAATCTTCCTGTCCGGTGCGTTTTTTATCGCCATTGCAATTAGAGCAATATATGAGTAAGGGGGCTTCTGAGCAGCACTTTCTAAACCTCTTCGGCTTGGTACACTCATAAAATAAGGGTTGACCGATAGTCTATGAGGAGTGTAGGGAGAGTAGGATAATCTGGAAGATAACAGAGCGGCGGATGGATCCATATCGTTCGCTTTTCTAAAGCTTCTCAAAGTGAAAGCGCACCTTAATTATGGGCTGGAGCGTCAATCATAGGCGGAAACATTCTACCCGCCCTTGAGACGACCAATCAGCATTGCCCTGAGACTCCGCCCCCAAACGCTTTTTTTATTTAGCTACAGTGGCAGCTAGTGAATCAACATTGACAAAAAAGAATGTAAACAGCGTTCCTTTTAAGTCGAACAATGTAGTAAAATGGGTGCGGTTGCCGGAAGAGAGAAAGACGAGTATTTTTCAAGCAATTTTATTGTCTCAAATTACGGGGCGACCCGTTGAATTCGACACATCGTTCAGTCGAAAATTCATAGCAAAATGTTTTCATTTCGACTTTACTAAAGAAGGCGGCGTTTTGTTTGATGGCGTCCTTTTATCTTCTTATTATCCATTATCGTTCTGCCGCTGCTTTTAACGATTTGTTTTTCGAACGCTTTTCGCTTATAGCGGCTACTCTGTTGGTCGGCGTCCGATTGTTTATTGATTCAACGCGTAAACAAGGAGCCTGTTTCGAAAAGCGAGGGCGGGAGCTAATCAATTGCATAGTATCGACTATAATTATCCTCAGAGCGAGTTAAAGAAAAGCCATAAATATGTATGTGTATATTTAACGTGAGCATCGAACACTGGGCGGACATTCTACGAAAACACCAGCTTGTTGACTAAAGATGAGCGGGCGTAAGAAAATATTGAAAGGCAAAGTGTTATCATAACATTACAGAGAATAACTGATAATACGGCTTCTGTAAATAAAAATGCAAGAAATTCAATACGGGTGACACGGCCTTAGCTGCTACCGTGTTTGACCGCGATTCGATTGCTTGAAGGCAGCATCGTTTTATCGTGTCAGGATTGTTATATACACTAAAAAGCAAAATATTCTCTCCGAAAATATGATAATAATAATAATATCACGATAACAACAATAAATTTGTAATACCAATACTGGCAATAAAAATGGGTAAATAGTCATAAAACTTTTATCGAATGTTAACTGGAAAGTAATTTATTAATTAATTAGTCGTAAAGTATTTAACGACTATTAACAGGAAATTAGTAGGCGTATTACGATAATACTCGGTTTACTTAAGTAGACACTCTTAAATCCGACGGAAATTCTAGCATCTCGCACCTTCAACCTCCGGCGTAAACATTACTAATACTGTCGCCAAACCGTTGCCTTTTCGAATATTGACAATAAGCAAATCGCATATAAATTGAAGCAACTCGTGTATATAGGCTGTATTTATCTACCTACAATGGACGCATTTAACAATGTTTCCCGTTTAACTTTGCCGTTGAAATTGTATGTTTAGATTGGCAAGCGAATACAAGGCGAGAGTTTGGCGCGAAAGTTTGTTTGCTTACATTATATATATATATAAATATATATATATATATATTATATATGCTCTTCCCGAGTAATATATATATATATACTATATGGACTGTATATCTAAAGCATATATTGAAGACATATTTTCAAATATATTTTATATATATATATATTATATATTATATATTATTTTATACTGTATATTATATATATATATATATACTGTATATATGCTGTATATATAGTCTATATATTGTATACATATTTTATTAAGAAAAGATAGCTATTTTGAAAATATTTCAATTAAAACTTTTGTGTAATGTGTATTAAAAATAATTCTACAGGACTAATACACTTGATCATAAATACCATATACAAACAATGTATTTAAGAGTTATATTTTATCTCTATAGTCGTTTATTCATTGAATCACTGAAGGGTTCTTATATTTTCTATTGCATTAGTCGTTGGATAAACGAAGTTTACTCAAATCAATTAGATAGTTTATTGATAGATATACCAGACTGACAAATGTACCAAACAGAGTATACGGTTAACATTAAATATATTATTTATATAAACATTCTATATATATAGAAAGTCTCGTTCTATAATTATATTTTGTAAACAGAAATTTGTTCTGAATAGGCTAATCCGCCGATTCCTATTACCTGAGCCTTTACGTAATCGAAAGGGAAAATGGCGTGCGGATAATGAAGTGAATGAGTGTAAAGGAGCAGAGTAAACATTGTTACTGAGTTATATTTAATTTGTTTGCACACATTAAAGAATTTTTGTAGAAAGACGAGTAAACATTTATTTAAACGTTGTTTCTTTTATATAAAAGCAAGTATATATATACTTTGTCGATTCATAAATGTGTAAAAAGTACAACAGAAATAGTTGATAAATTAGAAATATACATACAAGGTATTTTTGTTTTTAAAGGTAAAAGGAGTAAAATTCTTTAAAATTATTCTTTGTCTTGCAAAAGTATAAAACGATTCGATTTACAGCAGTATAAATAATTAGTTTATGGAAGGAATGAAAGCAAGTAAAAGAGCATTGAAAGCTCAGTTTGCCCCTAGCAAAATTTTGTCGTACAACAATCGCCTCTTTCAGGCAATATTTGTAAAAGATTTACGGCTAAACAGCCGCTAGGAACGTCTTTTTTATCTAACTAAAATCCGTAATTCGGTACAAGACGGAGGGCGATTATTGACGCTGCTGAATAATTGATGAGACAAAACATTTTCTTGCAAGCGTTATGAAAACAATGACGTTAGGGCGAAAATGGTGTTGTTGGAAAAAAGAACATTTATTTGTTTGTACGAGCGATGCGACGAACGACCGAATTTCCGTAAATTTAGAACGAATCGATCGCTATGTTTGTTTAAATGAGGAAATTATGTTTATTCGAACGATTTGCTTTGCATTCTTTGTTTCCTTCTCTTCTTCTTATAGACTGTATATTATATTGAGTATGCGGTATGCATTTGAATATATATACTTGTATATATATAAATATAGTATATATGCGGTATATATTTATATATATATAGTATGTATATAAATATATGAATACAATATTCCAGTCTATTCTTTATAGAAATGTTGAAAGAAAGAGTATTCGATTTTTTCTATATTTATTCTTTATATTAAGGAAATTGTGCATAACATTTATTACATTATATTTTTTGAATATATTATCTTTGTACTGTAATTGTACAACAAAAGAATAAAGAAAAGTAGTAAAATTTCATATCACTTATTCGATTCCGAAACCTTCCGAGTTCTCTATGGCTATTAATAGCTTATTCTTTAAAACCCTCTTTGAATTGTAAACGGGTAAGATAAGTTGATTAAAGCAAGTATGCGCCATTGGTAACATTTGTGTATTTTCAACTTTGGTAATTTTTAAGGTCATTTCGCTCATTCCTCCAACAGGTATCCTATCAGAACCTGTTGTAAATAATAAAAACTTCTTTTGTAAAGATCTTGGTAGAGAGATTATAATATCCCATAGATGGCGTATTGTCGATTCATCTGACTTATAGCCATCGTAGGTTGCCACTTTTCGTAATTCTCTCATATCGATAGACGGATCTCCACAAACAAGCATTTCAACTTCTTCCGGTCGAAGCATAATTAGCGCGTTTGATGCGCAGACAGAGTGAAAGCCATGATAAAATGCTTGAAAATGTGAATAAATTGACCTGTTAAGGGCATAGTCAATGTATAACTGCACATATTCCTTCCTATTTTCATTTGTAACTGCTATATTTTTTCCATTTTTCTTTAAATCAAATGTATGCAGGGTTCCAACTTGAGTGAATGAAGCTTGAAACGACATTCCAAAATCATCCTGAACATCTCCTTCGTACTCAAGGAGATCACGTAATCCCTTGGCGACATCCGGTTGAACTTGAGCAAAGTCGTGGAGGGTAAAGGGTGCGACACCAACAACAGCTTTAGGATTATTATAAGGTACAACGGCTGGATTTAAAAGCTTCTTGTAACAACAGGGAGGAAATCGGATATCTAAGTTAATACTGTTGTACACTGCTAGGCCCATAAGGACCCCGACTAGATTAAACTCTTGATAATTGTCACAAGGTACAGATGAAAACCAAAAAACTCTAGCTTTATGGTTATAGGTGAACATTCCATAATCTGGTTGAAAAATCTGCTTGATTAATAGAAGGAACCATTCCTTTGTCAGTCCTCCCATATCCAAACCTGGCTCTCCGGCGAATGTTACTTTAAGTTTCTTTTTTAAATCGTGTTGCTTTCGTGCAATTTCATTCAAAGAATCGGAAACAAGATGAGAGCGCCTAACCGTAAGATTAAGAAACAACATTCCTATATCTGGCATTTGTTTATTTTGAACTTTGGCAACCAAACTTCTCCTTGCCATTACGATCATCTGCTGTTCTGAATCTCTTTGTAAAATTGTTCTTTTAGCAGTTATACTCAGGACAAAGGGATATTGACAGAAGGAAAATGATGAAGAGGAGGCAGAAGAAGGATTTTGCCAAGCAAAGTATTCGGCCATTAAATCAAGCAGATCTAGGGTTGGATTATAAAAGTTGGTAAATGAAACTGTCGGCCTATGGCCTAAGTCATTTGCAGCATTTAATAAAGCTAAGCTTTTTATTGCACTTGGAATCCACCAAGAGCTTTTCGAGATTGGCGGTAGTTCAGCAGGACGGGCAGGAAAGAGTCGCGTTGAAATAAAACTATGCAGCCTGCGTACAACCGCTTTAAATCTAGCACTCTCTAATTTCCTTAACCAATGCACCAGGTAATGGTGTTCATGATCGGTAAGAGAGGCCACCTGCCGGAGAAGGTGAGCGAATATTACATATGTAGATATATTACTGAACTGAGGATTCTGGATAAGAATCACATACGCTCGAAGGTCATCTTTTGTTCTAGGACTGTTTAAATATTGTTGAAGTATTTAGCATATCAATAATTTGCATTATGTAGTGTTGAACTTAAAAAATACTTACAAATGACGACCCCCTGAATCCTCTAGTTGCCTGTCCTTTAACAGGCAATTTATAATACTTTTTAGCAGTTGTTTTTGACCATCTTGCGGCTGTAAATAAGTAATATGTCTACATCTAAATAATAACTTTCAAAAGCTAAATATTGAACGAAAACGTTAATAAACGAGATTATTATAGTTTCATGAACAACAGCTCACTTAAAACCTTAAATGTTCATCGACAAAATAATAATTTTACATATATAAAAAGTTCCTTACCAGATTGACTAATTGATCATAAACCTGATTCACTAATTCTAAATTTATTCCACTATCGTCAATACTTTTGTACTCTTTCTTAGCTTCTTTCTGCGAATAGATTAGATATCATTAGAACGACAAAACCATTATTTAAATATAATAAATGGATTGTCAACAATCCACAACTTTCGTATATTATTTAAATTTTCATTTCATAAAATTCGTTTGTCTTAGTACTGAAATGCATTGTTATTAAAAGTTCTATAATCATATGTGAACTAAAAATAAAAAATCATTAATTTATATTTATATACACTGTAAATCACCTCCTTTAATTATTACACGTTAAAGAGTAAAGGCTTTCAGGGGATGGGAAAGTGAAATAAGAGCAAATCTTTCAGTTAAAATTAAAAAATTTCTGTAATAATTTATTAGCTTAAAGGGAAGTATTCATCAGAATTGATTAATCGAAGAAGCTAGAATCAGGATATTCAGATTTATATCTTAGTCTACCATATTTAATTGTTGAAAAGACTTACTTTAAACGCCCAGTTGATCTCTTTGAATGATTCAAATGCAGTCACATAATAAGACGATACGTCTGACCATTTCCCTTCTTTTTCAGCCTTTGTAAATTCCTCTTTAAGCTTGTCAGAAGACCATCTGGGAGCCCTTGGAGACGCAGAACGTCTATCAGAAGCTGTAGAATCCGGACGGTGTGCTGGTTGTTCAACTGTCAAACGCCCTGATGGACTGATTGGTGGGAGTCGTTCTTCTTCAGAGGACTTTGCTCGGCGAAAAAAATTCGAAAAGATCCGAGTACGCCTATTCTGCATTGCAATATGGTCGATACATAACTGATCAATCGTCTCTATATAAATTTCTCAAATCGATTTAGTTCTATATAGCTCTTGTGAATCAATATCAAACACAGTACAAACCTTAGTCTTTCTAGTGGATACTGTTGTTGCTAGATTAGATGAACTTGGGTTTAAAAAGCTCCCACAGTATGGACATAAAGTTCTTCTAGAGCCAGCATTTTGTGTTACTGGTTTTTCACAGGTTGAACAATCGAAAATTGTTCGGTCTTCATCCATCCATTCGCAGCTATTGATTATCAAACCGTTGAAAAATTCACAAGTTGCGTCGTGTTGTCAAGGCATCAATCGAGCGCCCGCTAGATGGCAATTAAACTGAAGCCTATTTAAATGCTTCCAGATTCTCATTTGAAAATGATTTATTTAAGCTTTGACATTTGGCACGGTTTTTGACTATATTAACTATATCAATTCTAGAATTACTACAGACATTTAAAATTCATAGCCTACAAGGAACAAGCCCTTTGCAACATTTGAAAAATTGGGAATTATAAGCTATCGTGCCGCAGCACATATCATTTTTCGAGTGACGCCTTAAGAGAATTCCATCACAGCAGATCAATCCTCCTCTTACATTTCTACTAGAATATGCCCATCTCCCGCAGCACTCTCCTTGAGACCGTCCATATTGAATTACGTTGTTACAGCACAAATCCCTTTTTTTATCATAGACCCTATTACCACAACAGGCAGTACTATCCCCCGAAATTTTTCTTCTGACTTTTCCATTGCAACAAACGCTTGTATCCTCTCTGTATGCAGCACCATTGCAACATCTCCATTCGTTTGGATGATGTCCTTTGAATTCAATTCCCTCGCAACAAATACTTTCGGTTCTATTGTATTCGACATTTGAGCAGCAATCTTCTTTTCCTGAACGAGCATATACTGCTTCTTGACAGCAAATAAATCTACTTCCCAAATATTGACCACTTTTGCACGAGGCTATGTAAATTTGTCAAACATTAATTGTATACTTATCATGGTTATGAATGTGCATTCTATAATTAACAATTAACTTACATCTTTTAACCCTCAACAGAGTTGCATTGAAAATAGGAAAAGCCATCAGTAGTAAGAGCAACGACCCCGATCCCATCGTTTCTGATTGTGCAACAGCAACATTACAAGCGCCATCTATTGGTATCTTCATACAATCAGCTCATTCTCGAAATGAAATGTAACGATTGTTGTATTATTACAATGTGCATAATAAATAGTAATAATGAAGCAAAAATAATAAAAAGACGTTCATCTTTAAAAATCACTTGTTGAACTAATGTTCTAGTATTATAGACTGGCTCAATACGATAAAACGACTGAAAGGACATATTTAATAGTAGTATTATAATAAAAGGCACAATACTAAACCAGACAACTATCATTCTGTGCAAGAAAAACATTCATAATTCACATTTAATAGTTTATTTCCAAATGTTATTTTTGTATCAATTCTATAAATACTGGTAATACTAGAAAAGATTCATCATACACTATTCAGTATATATAATAAAATAGCTTAAATTAAATGTACAG